TCAGTGGGTACAGGCTCTCCACATTCTTCAAAATATCTTCTTTTGTGTTCAACAAAATAAAAAAACTCATTTTGAAAGGTTTGAAACCACTCGGGGGAGAGTAAATTATTATTATTATTTTGGGTGAACTTACTTTCAAACAGTTTTTAATAAGTTATAAATACAGAAAAGCCCAAAATGATTCTTACCCCTGACAACCAGCAAGTGTTTTGTTTAATTATTTTTTTTTTTACCAGAAATGACACAGACATCTTCCAAACTATAATAAGACGATGTACAAGAGGCATTTCACTGTGGAGAAAATATATTTCTCAAAAATATAAAAAATTGCCATGTCTAAAACGATGCATACCCTTCTCAATAATCAAAAGAAAAGTCTTTATTGTCTATTACAGCGGTTAAAAGCCTGCCATGATAGCTTATTCAGCTTTTACATGTCTCTACTTGTATTTTTGTCTATATGATGAGCTCAAACTTTTTCAGGTGTTAGGGTCTCCTTCATCCTGATCTTTAGTTAATTCTCAATCAGGTTTATGACAGGACTCTGGCTGGGCCACTGCAAAAGGTTAATATTTCTATCTGATAATCATTTCTTTATCATGTCTGCTCTGTGTTTTGGGTAGTTGTTGTGCTGAAATGTCCACTGGTGCCCAAGGAGAAGTTTCTCTGCAGACTGCCTGATGTTGTTGTTGAGGATTTAGACGTATTCCTCCTTTTCCATAATCCCATTTACTGTGATTAGCTTCCCTGGTCCACTAGCTGAAAACACCCCCAAAAACCCAAGGTGCTCCACATATTTTTTTTACTCTTTAAAAAATAAAATAAAATAAATAAATAAATAAAATGCAAAAATAACACACGTCAACATTACTGATAATAAACAGTAAAATACACTTTAAAAACGTCGGTAAATTAGCATTTTTCTGGATTTTGTGATTCATGCTATTATTTTTTTAAATGTTTCCCCATTTATTTCTGCTTCTGAATTGCATTATGGGATCTTGATCTTTACTCCAGCAGCTTTTATCATTGATAAGTGTGTAAAAGTGTGTGTTCTGCACATGTGTAATAGTCTGCAGTGCTGTATAGTGTGTTGGATATTACACTACAGAAACCTTGTAATAACCTGCAGCACATTTCCTGATATTTTACACACTCATTCCTCTAGATATAATTTATTAAACATATAATATTTATTATTATTATTATTATATTATTTCTAAAATGTCAATAAAAGTCGCTTTGTTAAAGTGTAGAGTTGAATTTTCATCATCAGAAGAGGACAGAGCAGAGATCAACATCCCATAATGCAGTTCACCACCGCAGATATGTATATTTTGAACAGTTTACGTAACACATTGAGCAACTCTATTTTAAAAAGTCACTTTAGATTGCATTATTTTACTTTTTCCTTCAAGCGCTGTTAGCTATCAACTCAAAGAAGGTCAAATAAAAGCTTCAGCATTAGAAAGCAAGCCAGAAATGAGCAGAACCCTCAACAAACGGATTATTGATGAGATCTGACTCATTTTTAAAGGTGAAACATGATACAGAAAGCAGCGCTTTGGTGAGCAGGTTGCCTTTATGACTGCTGAAGAGCTCTGATTCACTAACTTGCGCTTTAAAATGTGGATCTTGTCGTTGGAAGATTCAAATGAATGCTTGTGCTGCGCTCAATATGTCAGGCAAATGAAAACCCACATAATTCACACATTCAGACCAACTGTGAAAACACAGTCACACACCACATGTGGAAAACCTCAGGGTTTGACTGGTATTTAAACAGTGGCAGTGAGTCATGAAAGACTGAATGTCGCATTGCTCATCAGTTAAGACAAATTATCAAATTTCTGACTAATCTCGTAATGTAAAACCTATAAGAATAATCTGGGGCTACCGCAGTGGAATGAACCGCCAACTTATGTTAAAACAAATGTTTTATGTAGCGGATCGTTCACTCACAATACCCAATTCCCCTATAGCGCATGTGTTTGGACTGTGGGGGAAACCTGAGCACCTGGAGGAAACCCACACCAACACGGGGAGAACAAGCAAAGCAGCGACCTTTTTGCTGTGAGGAGACAGCTCTACCCCCTGTACCACCGCACTGCCCTATACTGAGTTTGGTTGCTTTAAATATCCTCTGTTAATTATGTTTTCTGTTAATAAATCATTTGTCTTCACGCTGGTTAGCATTGTCTCTCTTATGTTGTAATTCTGAGCAGGTTGCAGCATGAGTTATTGAATCTTTTATGTTTAGAAGTGTGTCGATGAAATCTCTCAGAGAAGGACGAATCATTCCCAAATCATTCCCCAGAGAAGGGCTAATAATATTGACCACAGCAGTTTTTACAGTTTTAAAAATACATATGCTTTTACTTTAGCCAAAGTAAAAGAAATAAGACTTTCTCTAGAAGAAAAATAGGAGATTATGTGAAGATTGTTCTTGTTCTGTAAAACATTGAAAAAATAATTGACATGAGGGTGAATACTTCCATATAACTCCATATATAAAATATTTAAAATCAAACATGCATTATTTTAAGCTGATGTGGTTACAGTGTAAAAAACCTTTATAACTACTGAGTAATATCATGTATGCTTGTATTTACTATATGGTTGGGGTCAGAATGTGGGTTGGGGTTAATTGCATGTAATGTGCATAATTCATTGTGTCTACTAAGGAACATATGCAACTACATAATCTTAAATTAATATCAGACTTCTACATAGTGTACATGACTAGTGTATTCATGAGTGTATTGGACTGCGGATCAGTGAGTGAGACATCTGTACAATACTGTCTACTAAAGCAGATCTCGTAACCACAGTTCAACGTTAAGACAGGAAAAGTCTGCTGCGCTGCACAAAGGTGGTCTCGCTGAACACAATAACAAAACTTCACGTAGATTTGCACATTCACAACGGAAATGACCTAGATTCAGTGGAATACTGACATGTAAAAGCTGAATTTGCTGTACAACATAATAGATGCCACAAAAAACACACAAACAAACATTATATCATTTTATAAAACACATACAACACGAAATATAACAGTACAGTGTTTAATGGAAGTAAACAGCAAAGGATCAGCAGTAATGAGTATCCAGCACATGTTAATGTACTGTTTAAAGGATCACAGTGTTGAATCTTATAGCAAAGCTTGAAAAATAATCTGGGAACTCCCATTCCTGAGACTTTGGAAACATATGAGGAGGTGAAACAGATGAACACATTACCTGTTGCTCACTTTGAGTTAAATGGACAATAATTATTATTATTATAATTTATCATGATTTATTGCAAACACTTAATCAATATTGTGAATATATTATATCTGTTTAGTTTATCTATTTCATCCTCATCTGTCTACTCTTTAATCTTTTACATTTAGGGTTATTACTCACATTTTATTTAGGGTTTGCCTCTGAATTGTGTGTTTATTAACAGTGATTAAGGCAGTAGTTGTGTTTAGGTATTAGAGATGTAGAATAAGAGCATGCAGAATATGTGCTTTATACAGTACTAATAAACAGTCAATATCTGAATAATAGACGGGTAATAAACACTAGTTGATAGTTACCACTTTTTCTTTCTGATATATATATATATATATTGCTTCATGGTACAGGTCCCAGGATAGCTTGAAAATACCAGCTTAATCGCTGATCTTGTTTTGTGTAATACCCCTCTGGTGTTGTTGTCTTTGTTGTTAATATCACTGTTGTTGTCAGTGTCAGTGTTGTTGTTTGATGTTGTTGTTTTTGTTGTTGGTGTTGTTGTTGTTTTGTATTGTTGTTTTTGTTGGTGGTGGTGTTTTTGGTGTAGTTGTTTTGTTGTTGGTGGTGGCTTTGTTGTTGTATTGATGTTGGTGTTGGTGTTTTGTTGTTGATGATGGTGTTATTGTTTTGATGTAGGTGTTGTTTATATGTTGGTGTTGTTGTTGCTGTTGTTTTGGGGTTGGTGTTGTTTATATGTTGGTGTTATTGTGTTGTTGCTGTTGTTTTGGGGTTGGTGTTGTTTTTATTCTGGTGTTATTGTTGGTGGTGTTTTGATGTAGGTCTTGGTGATGGTGTTATTGCTTTGATGTTGGTGTTATTGTTGGTGTTTTGGTGTAGGTGTTAGTGATGGTGTTATTGTTTAGATGTTGGTGTTGTTTATATGTTGGTGTAGATGTTGCTGTTGTTTTGGGGTTGGTGTTGTTGGTGACGGTGTTATTGCTTTGATGTTGGTGTTGTTTATATGTTGGTGTTGTTTTTGCTGTTGTTTTGGGGTTGGTGTTGTTTATATGCTGGTGTTATTGTTGTTGGTGTTTTGGTGTAGGTGTTAGTGATGGTGTTATTGTTTAGATGTTGGTGTTGTTGGCGGTGGTGTTATTGTTGTTGGTGTCGGTGTTTTTGTTTTGATGTTGCTGTTGTTTATTTGTTGGTGTTGTTGTTGTTGTTGGTGTTTTGATGTAGGTGTTGGCGATGGTGTTATTTCTTTGATGTCGATGTTGTAAACATGTTGGTGTTGTTGGTGATGGTGTTATAGCTTTGATGTTGGTATTGTTTATGTGTTGGTGCTATTGTTGTTGGTGGTGATGTTTTGTTGTCATTATTTTTATTGTTGTTGGTATTGGTGGTGTTTATGTTTTGTAGTTTTTGTTATTGTTGTTTTCATTGTTGTGAGTATTATTTGTTATGGTGTTGTTTTTTGTTGTTGTCAGCATTTTCATTGTTGCTGTTTTTGGTGTTGTTGTTTGTGCTACTGTCGTTTTGTTGTTGGTGTTGTTTTCATTGTTGTTTATGGTGTTGTTGTTATTGTTGCTTTGATGTTTGTGTTGTTGGCAATGGTGTTATTGTTGTTGGTGTTGCTGTTGTTTACAGTGTTGTTTTGTTGTTGTCATTGCTCTTTTTCTTTTGTAGTTGTTGTTATCATCAGTGTTGTTGTTGTAATTGTTTGTTGTTGTTGTTATCATCAGTGTTGTTATAATCATTTTTGTTATTATAATTGTTGTTATCATTGTTGTTATCGTCAGTGTTGTTGTTGTAATTGTTTGTTGTTGATATTATCGTTGTTGTTAAAATCAGAGTCTCTGTATGTTCAATCTGTTCTTCTGCTGCTAGGTGTCTGCTGACGCTGGAGCTCAAGCATTGGGTAAAGGTGGCAGCGGCCGCTGGCTTTTTGAAGGCCTGAGAGATTCGCTCTGCTGCATGTACTGCTGCTCTTCCGGCTGGCTGGAGTTATCCGGCATCAGTGGTGCCAGGCGAAACTCCTTCTCTTCTAAACAACACATGCAGAAGAAGCATGTGAAAATGACATCTGAATTAACTATGTAGATTATATTTCAGAATATGCAGACTTTATTTGGAATTTGTGATCCTGAGTCCCAGTGACCCAGTCCTACAGACTGCACCTTTCATTTGCACAGGTAGATTTGTGCAAGAATTATTGATTTTCCTTTTATGACAAAAATCATTGGAATATTATGTGAAGATCATGGTCTGTGAAGACATACATTTCTTACAGCAAATATGTTCAAACTTAATTTTTGAATAGTAATATGCATTGCTAGATAACTTTAACAAACAACGTTATAGGGGATTTTCTCAGTTTTTTGTCTTTTTAACTCTCAGATTCCAGATTTTTTACATTATATTGATATTTAAAGAGTGTTTTGTGCAAAAGCTGGTTCAAACTGTGCACTCATTGCTTATCACACACACAGGGATGTAAAGCAGTACACAAATATATTTAAAGATGAAAAATAAAAGATTAAGTTGTAAAAAAATAATAATAAATTGTCTACATAAATATAAAAACACTACCTCATCTTCACCTCAGGGGGCGTTGGAGGAATCTGGCTCTGCTTTAGTCAGTTTATTTATGGCCATTTTAGAGTTATTATGAGTAGTAGTGTTTATTATGTGCATATTTACAATTGCTTCAGCATTTTTAGTTTAGGTTTGTTAGATTTGATTTAGATTTGTTGGGGTTTAGAGTCATATGCATCACTATATAGTAGCATAGGAATAGGAAGTGTGTTTGAATATAACACTTCATTGTTATTGTTCACTCATTCGTTTACAGGAAACTAGAACTGAATTTAGATTCTGATTGGTTTAATGGTTGTTATGCCCAAAACACACCTATAACTCATTGAAAGAATAAGCTTTAGATCATGCACTTGGTGTGCAGACTGTTTTTCCCACCCTTAAAATCCCACCCTTTAGACCTAGTCCTTAAAATAAAGCCCAGAATGGGAGAATCTGTGTCTCTGTGTCCGTGTACCTTCAGCCTTGCTCTTGTTTCTCCTGCGGCAGCAAATACAGACGACACAGATGATGAAGAGTATGAGGAAGACTCCGCCGGCCACTGCCACCAACACCACCATCCACAAATCCAGACCAAAGAGAAAACTCTGCCCATCTAAAACAACACAGAAAACAGCTTCAAAACAGAGCAAACACATCAATGACGTACAGTACTGTATGATGTAATAATGAGTAATAATAAGTCATGCTGAGCTTTATTGTGACTCCTCTACATGTGTGGACATCCCGTCTCACAGGACCAAGGAGCTACTTAAATAAATCAAGAGCTATATTAAACCCAACTGGTAATAAGTTAAAAAGTGTCATTTAAATCTCATTCATTTTCCTTCGGCCTAGTCCCTTATTCATCAAGGGTCACCACAGCGGAATGAACCACCAACTATTCCAGCACTGGATGCCTCTCCAGTCGCAACTCAGAACCAGGAAATAAATCTAAATCAGATCGTTTAAACAAAGAGTTTGTCTTTATTTGACTCAAATTTGAGCTACAACAACCTAGTATTTTTAGAGAGATAAGATGAATATCAATGGCAGATCTATAATGCGAGATATGATTAATTACAGTATGTGACAGTATGAAAAAAGACATTTACCATCATTATTGTTTTCTCCTTTGCCGCCTCCGTCCTCGTCTTTCTTTCTGTCTCCATCTGCGTTTGTTGTGTTTTCTGCATTTAGGCCATTTTAAAATGGAAATAAATAGTTATTTAATTATAATTATTAAAGAGTTAAAATATATGTGACTACAAAACCAGTCATAAAGGTCGTCTTTCATAATGTTTTCTTTTTTTAAACAAGCCAAATAATGTGCTAATGCAGTGAGCAAAATAATGTAGTTTTTACTTTGAAATAATCTTATTTCACTCACCACAATGGCAGATTATTCTGCTTGTTTTAAGGAGAAACTCTCTTCATTTTGACTCAATATTTCTGAAAACAGCACTATACTTTTACTTGTCTAGAAAAAGCTTCTTGATTTAAGAGTTTTGAGATATTTGGACTAGAAACAAGACACAAAACTTGATCCAGAAAAGCACATTTTCGCAGTGTATCCTAATGATTTTTGGCATAAAAGAAAAATCTACCATTTTAACTGCACTTAAGACTAGTTTTGTCATACTGAATGTATTTTTATACTCGGTTGAAGTTGAGTTTTTCCAACACATTTATAATCATAACAGTGTTCATAACTCATCTCTAATAGCTGATGTGTTTGCTCTTCTCCATGATGACAGCACATCATATTAGTCTAGATATTCTTCAAGACACTAGTGTTCAGCTGAAAGTGACATGTAAAGGCTTCACTAGGGTAATTAGGGTAAAGTTAGGGTAATTAGGCAAGTCATTGTATAACAGTGGTTTGTTCTGGAGACAATCCAACACTAATATTGCTGAAGGGGTGAATAATATTGAGCTTAACATGACTTTAACACTATTAAACACTGCTTTTATTCTAGCTGAAATAAAACAAATAAGGCTTTCTCCAGAAGAACAAATATTAGAGGAAACACTGTGAACATTTCCTGAATCTGTTAAATATCATTTGGGAAATACTGGAAAAGGAAATTCAAGGCAAGGCGAATAATATTGACTTTTGTGCATTGAATATTGAATTACTCTTCTGGTGCCTGGCATCAAATGTCATCGTTCCTTTCCTATTCATTATGAACCAAATGGCAAATCTAATAACTTATTATAAGAGAAAAGGTAGGGCAAAATTTTTAATAGGACTGATAATTATTGTGGGAAGCGCAATAGAAAATAAGCTTCTGAATTGAATATACTGACCTGTGCTGGAGCACGCCGGCTGGACGTCTTTAGCAGACTTTAGGCTTATCCTGTTGCTGACGGTGCAGGAGTAAGAGTCCCCGAGTTCCAGCTCAGACCAGCTGATGTGTAAAACTGCAGCTGTTTTATCAGTTTTCTGTCCATTCTTCATCCAGGACACAGACGCCTCTGTGCCGGACAGGAAAATGCAGGACAGATGCACACCTTCATCCCCACACTGGACTGTGATGGAAGGCTCAGACACTGGCTCTGAAACACACACACACATGTTTGTTTTTGTGAAAAGTGGGGACATTACATAGGTTTCCATTCATTTTATGCAGCCCAAACCGTATATTGTATTGCCCTCACCCCACCCCACCCCTAAACCCTACCATCACAGGAGACTGTGTGCAGCTTTACTCTCTGATTAAACTCATCCTGTAGGATTTATAAGCATTTTGAGAAATGAGGACGTCACCAGTGTCCTCATATTTCACCTCCTTTTTGTAATACCTGTGTCATACCCATGTCATTATACAGATTTGTGTCCTGATATGTCACAAAAACACGTACACACACACACACACACACACACACACACACACACACACACACACACACACACACACACACACACACACACACACACACCATTAGAATATTAACTCCTGTTGACCTATACGGGTGAAAATAATCTGTACATAGTTTTAACAAAACAAAAAAAAACTTATTTTAAAAAGACCTTAAGACCTAGTAATGGTGACAAATTTAAAATCATCTAAAATGATCTGAACATCAGACAAAATGAATGGGTTTTCCATTTCATATTTCCATGAAGGCTGAACACGTTTAGGGCACAACACTTGGCCTTCGGGTCAATCTTAAGGCCGCCATTGTCTTGTTTCTAGTCTAAATATCTAAAGATTATTAAATCAAGAAGCATTTTCTAGACGAGCACAAAATATAGTTTATTCTTCAGCAATAATAAGTGAAAATGAAGTACATTTTTCCTTTAAACAAGCTAAATAATATTACTTCAAAGTAAAAACTACACATTTTCACTTGATATTTCTGAAAAAATAACTATAAGTTCTACTCGTCTGCTTCTTGATTTAATCATCTTTAGATATTTGGACAGAAACAGGACACACTCATTTTGTTTGCAGCGCATCATCAGAATTTTATTACATTAAACATTCAATATCACATATCAGAGCTTACCTTGTACACAAAGCTGTATTTCCATCTTTGTTTTTGATTTTCCATCACTATTAAAGACTTCAGCCTTGTATGTTCCAGATTTGTCAGTCTGTATATTCTCTATGATCAGAGACCCTGAGTGGTCGATGTCGAACCCTTCGTTCTTCGTCTTCACAGCTGAGTTTTTTTTCTCAAACACTTTCATTTGGCTTTTCTTCCAGATCAGGTGGTCGCCTGGATTTAACTGATCAATCATCAGCTCAATCACAACGTTTTCACCCACTTTTTTGTATACACAGGGAGATTCAGCTGTGAAATAAAGCCGTATTAAAGCATGATTATTCAAGGGTCAGTTCAGCTGATATTCAAGTGCATCGAAAAAGTTTGATGAGTTTCTCCTGTTGAACACAAAACTAGATATGCTATATCATAAAGAATGCTGGGTTGTTGTAACTCAATGCTGGGTAATAAAAATAAAAATAAACCCAACCGCTGGGTAAAAAGAGTTATTTTAATTTAACAAAACTATTTCTCAACAGGTCTGTCCATAATTGGCCTAAATGTTGTGTTAATACAACCCAGAATTTTCAGGGTGTTTTCTCACCTGTTGTTACGCTGCAGTATATTGTGCAGGAACACAAAAATAAGGTGAAGATCCAAACACAGCATAAACAACTTACTAACAAAACTAAAGCAAACACACAGACAACACACAGATGCCATAGGAGAACGTAAAGAACAACTGACAACCAGACTCAGAGGGAAAGACAAAGTGGTGTATATACATATACATACAGCTGAGGTGTGAATTATTCACCCCCTGTTAAAATTTTCCCCAATTTCTGTTTAACGGAGAGCAGATTTCTTCAACACATTTCTAATCATAATAATTTTAATAACTCATCTCTAATAACTGATTAATTTCCTCTTTGTCATGATGACAGTAAATAATATTAGACTAGATATTCTTCAAGACTCTTCTATACAGCTCAAAGTGACATGTAAAGGCTTCACTAGGGTAATTAGGGTAACTAGGCAGGTTAGGGTAATTAGGCAAGTTATTGTATAGCGATGTTTTGATGGACTATCGAGAAAATATATAGCTTAAAGGTGCTAATAATATTGACCTTAAAATGATGCTTAAAAAATTAGAAACTGCTTTTATTCTAGCCGAAATAAAACAAATAAGACTTTCTCCAGAAGAACAAATATTATCAGACACACTGTGAACATTTCCTCAATCTGTTCAACATCATTTGGGAAATATTTAAAAAGAAAACAAAAATCAGGGGGGCGAATAATTCTGACTTCAACTGTACATACATATACAGTGCATGCAGAAAGTATTGATTGAGATAAAGTATTGCCTTATTCCAAAACTGATCAAATTGATTGATTTCCTCAACATTCTACACACAATCTCCCATAATGACAATGTGGAAGAAGAGTTTTTGAAATTGTTGCAAATTTATTAAGAATAAAAAAGCTGATAAATCAGATGAATGTACTGTAGAAGCTATAGCGATTAGTTAACTTTACTTTTAAAAAATCTGTAAATAAAAGTAAATGAATTATTTGCAAAACTTAGGTCAACTTAACAAGTGCAGTTTATAACCGCTTTACTCACTTTAAGTAAAGTAACTAATCACTTTTCACAGTGTGAGGGTTACAAACAAACTTTATCTGTAAAACAAAATTAAAGAAATAAAGCGGTATAAAAGCAGAAACATTACAAATAATAAAGTGAGAATGCACATCTGTGTGCTGCATATACAGCAAACACAACCTTTTAATACAGACTGATTCAACTCTGTATACTGTAAACACATCAGCTAATGAACTTTCTTCTGTGTTTAGTGTTTATTAGTGGTGGTGAAGTGCATTATGGGATGTTGATCTCTTTTCTGTCCACTTCTGATGATGAAAATTCCTGAATAGTGCCTTTCATTGATATTTTTGTGGCTTAAATTATATAAGTAATACTATCTAGAGGAACGTAAAATAAGAGTAAATGTGCTGCAGTTTATTACAGGGTTTCTGTAGTGTAATATACAACACCAACACACACGATATAGCACACTATTACACATGTGCAGAACACACACTTCACAAACTTACACAGGTTAAAAACTGCTGGAAGAAAGATCAAGATCTCATAATGCAGTTCAACAGCAGAAATAAAAAACAAGAATCACAAAATACAGAAAAACTGTCAAATTACAGATATTTTTAAGGATTTTTCAAGGACAGTGGCTTTACACAGAAATGCAGCTCTGATCTGAAACACATTCTTTACATTTAAAGGATTTATAATGGCAAGTAATACAATTACTTTAAAAACTGTGTAAAACAACAACAACCTCAATGACAAAAACACATGTTGACATGTTGGGGACTGATCAATTAAATACATTTTCTCCTTAATTTTCATTAATTTAATTTTCAAATATCTTATTTTCAAGACAAGCACAAAACATTGACTAGTTTTGAGAAAAAATGAGTCAAAATGAAGAGAGTTTTCCTTAAAACAAGCAGAATAATCTGACAATGCGGTGAGTGAAATAACCTCACGTCAAAAGAAAAAAAACTACATTATTCTGCTTGTTTTAAGGAGAAACTCACTTCATTTTGACTCATTATTTCTCAGAACAACACTATATTGTTTTGATCATCTGGAAAATGCTTTTTGTTTTAAGAATTTTTAGATGTTTTTAGATACAAAGCAAGAACTCCACACATTACATTTCTAAAGGCAAAACTCCCAGAAAGGTTTTAGTATGAGATTTACAGATACTTTCATGATTAAAGTTCATCTTACCATTGGAGAAAATGCAGATTAAATGTAAAAGGAGAATTACTGCCAGCATCTTCACTGGAGTTTCAGAACGCTTTGTTTTAAAACAAACGAGTCTACTGTGCTTTAATTTCCTGTGTGTGTGTGAGAGTGATCGAACATCTGAGAGTGTGTGTGGAGGAAGCGTTACACTATTCACCAGACATGATTTAATACTACAACAACAACAACAACAAAATCAAAACAAAAACAAATAAAAACAGACTACAATATAGAAATTCAGTTTGTTTGGAAATCTCTTAGAGAATATATATATATATATATATATATATATATATATATATATATATATATATATATATATATATATATATATATATATATATATATATATATTGCACAAAAATGATACTGCTAATGTGTTTTGTGTCCTGTAAATATGACATACTGACATGAAAAAAACACCATGGTAAATACAACGGTGTTTTTGAAATAAACATTCTTTAGAATATAGCATATCTTTGTTTTTAACAGGAGAAAGAAAATCATCAAACTTTTAGGACCACTTGAATGTCAGCTGAACTGACTCTTACCTTTATTTCTGAGAGTGTTTAGTTGTAGAAAACTTCAATATTACTACAGTATTTTATTATAATTTATATATCCAAACAGTAATTCAGCATATGGGTGAACATGCACTGTAAAAAAACAGGTTCCACACAATTCATTCATGTTGTAAATATATATATATATATATATATATATATATATATATATATATATATATATATATATATATATATATATATATATATATATATATATAAATGAGTGTATTTAATTTCTGGCTAACCTTTGTAATAGATTATTACAATTGTTAGATCTTTATTTTGGTTCCAGTTCATATTCAGTGGTCTAAACTACTGTACTTAGTAAAAATAAGTTTAGGTAAGACATGGACAGGGTTGATGGTGTGTGTATGTTTAACTTAAGGCTGGGTTAAAGTGTAAGAGATGTTCAACAGTGTAATTATAAATGCAGAACAACAGATGTAATTACAAGATTAGTTCATTGTACCAAAATGATTAAAATGTAAGTACATAGTAATTAAGGCTTGTTAATAAACAGTGGGATCAACTTTTGACAATGCATATTATGAGTAGTTTATTTACATCAAATTACCTGTCTAAAACTTTCAGCTTCCCAATGACGTAAGTACTACACATCATAATTCAGCACAACCCTGCCATCTGGTGGAGAAAGTATTGATGCAATCATTTAAATGATAAATATTGAGAGAATTCAGTGGATGTAAAGTGATTGTCTTTTAAATTATTACACATCTCAACACGTTTTTTAATGTGATGAGGGAAAACACTATAAACACCAGAGACAATTTTCATGAAGAAGATGCATTTTACAGAGCGAGGTATAGAAAGTTATCCAACACATGCTGACCATCATGATATACTCTCTAAATTAAACAGATTAATCCATTTATATTATAGTGCTTTACTAATCCCTAACAATAAAGGAGGTCTCACCAGTGATGCCAACTAAAGGTTTCATGCACTGTAAAAGCAGCAGGGTTCCACACAATTCATTCATGTTGTCCAAACACAAATCGATTAAGTTAACCGAACACTTTTAACAAATTTTTAAATAAATAAGTTATCCTAATGAAACCTCAAGAATTATGTTGTTTCAGCTCATTTTAATTAAGTGTATAACGATGAGAAAAATTGAATTACAATGGGCTTATCTTCATAGATCTCCATTAAATAGGAAGATGAAGTCAAGTTATGTCACCAGAGTCATTTTTATTTTCAAGAACAGACTTTGTTGTAGCACCATATTCTGTTATATTTATTTGGTATTATCTTTCTTTTATAATGTCATTTACATCATATTTGATTGTTATGAATACATTATAGTGCTTTGGATGGTAGAAAAATCTGTTGTTGACCTCAAAATAAGACACCGATCATGGCTGTGGGGACCTGCTGTATAAGTGTTTGGGAATTTAACACTAAGACACGATTATTGTCCGTCTGATGATTTAAAATGGTGTAGCTTTTCACATGTCATATTGTTACACATTCAAATATAATTGTAAACATAGTTTAATAATGCTTTAAAGACAGAGAAATGCACGTTTCTGCAGACAGACCCAGCTATTAATATCTTTGTACAACATTTGAACCACATTAATGTATTTTAATGGGAATCCGACAGCTTTTAATGAGTCTATATGGAACTGCAGATGCTTTACAGTGTACAAGATATTTAATGTTACTGATATGATGTGTTCGGGGCAAATGTTCCTTTAAAGTTTCCTTCTCGGTGAATTGCGTCACGATGACAACAGCGGCCGCCGCTTCTGCTTCATGCGGACATCTCTTCACTGTATGAGTAGCCTACAGCGTGTTCATAATACAATAAACATATATGAAATAAAAAAGCACTGTCCACCAAATAAAACTCATCCTTAAAGGTTGTGATACTGCGCGTTCAACACAACCGTTTCATTCATTCTCTGTTCTCTGTCGAGATTTATGCAGCGGTTACATCCTCACACCGGCATTATAGCGAGCGCCCACATCGGGTAGTAAGAAAATAAACTGTCAGGAGCTGAAATGGAGTTTGTGGTGCGGGTTTTGCTGTACATTACCTGCCTCTGTTTTCAAGGTAAGCGCTAATATTTTCTTCTTAAACATGGACCGGAGAAACTAAACAGTCAGAGATATGCTAGGCTAATCACGCCCACAGGTCTGTGAGGGGAAATAGAATCATTCTGGCCGACACACGGACAAGTTCGCTCAATTAATAATCTAAGATAAATTTAGAGACGTTATTCAAAATAGTCGAGTGACAATTTTAACATCTGTCTTTTGGCTATTTCTGCTGAATATGCAGCAATGCCATTTAATGTACACTGGCCCTGCCAAATAAACAAACAAATAAATAAACATTTATAAACAATCTTTTTTGACTGAACATTACTGCGGTCATTTGTACAGCTAAATAAAGCAAAACCTGTCATGGACATTCATTCATTCATTCAGTTTCTTTTTGGCATATATATGTTTGAATGTATATAAATGTAGGTATGTAGGCCAACCTTTGCAATAAATGACAATAATTAAGTTTTTAATTGATTTGAATTGATGTTTTATACTTAATATGGTTCCACTTTATATTAGGTGGGTTAGGGTTGGGGTTAGTATTCCATCACTGAATATAAAATGAAGAGAATAACAATAATCAAATAAAGAGCTTAGAGTCTTGGGACGGCTAAACAATACATAGCAAGGGTGATTACATTCAGAGAGACAGAAACATAGACAAAAGTAAATAAATGACAGAAATTATTAATTATAATGTTAATAAAATATACATATAAAAGGATTAGATTAATAAACAAACAAACAAACAAACAAGTAAATAAATAAAATTGTGTTCACAATGAAAGAGGCTGCTGTTCTGCTTTACGTGTAAGGTGTGTTTGGGACTCCGCCCATCCTCAAAAGTCACCTGATACTGCTGTTTTTTTCACTTTCGGTATTCGCGACTTTAAAACAAAACAACTTTATCATTTATTCTCTTTTTTTGTTTTCTTTGTCGAGATTTAAGCAGCAGATGAGTTTTACACTTCACACCGACATTAAATAACACGCGGTTAGAGGAGAAACTAACTAACAGCCAGGAGCTGAAATGGAGTTTGTGGTGCGGGTTTTGCTGTTCTTTACCTGCTTCTGTTTTCAAGGTGAGCGCTTGTATTTTCTTTTTAAACATGGCTGGAGAAACTCGTAAAACAGGCAGAGACATGCTAGGCTAATCACTCCTACAGGTGCAGTGATCTGTGAGGGGAAAAACATTATTCAGGTCGATACACGGACAAGTTTCGGTCAATAAATACTCTTAAGTCAAATTCAGAGTTAATTTGACAATCTAAAATATAGAAATAGAGATGAATTATATATTCAAAAAAGTCGAGTAACAAACTGTTTCAGTGATCTTTTTTTAAACTGAACTTTGTACTGCACGGTCCTTTGTACAGATACACACAACTCGACCCATATAAGTTAACGTTACTACAGCAAGTTATTGCAAATACTAATGTGTATTATCCTGTAGCTACATGGTTTTTACAACTTTTGTTATTGAATGGGGCACGTAATAACTATACTGAACTGATAAACTGTAATAAATACTGTATACTTTAGTTTTTACTACAGTAAACTGGTGTATAGTTTCCCTAATACTACAGTACTGGCTCATTTGTTTATATTATTATAGTTGTGGTGTTGCTATGGCAACTGTAGATAACAGGGTTTAAAATATTATAGTATGTACTACTATAATATTTTACTAGAACTATATTATACTAATGTATCTACTGCTAGATTTACTATAGTATTTTTCATGTGCGTTTCCACCAATTTGTGATTTTTAGTTTGAAGTCAAGTTTGTTTTGAGCTAATAATAATTAATCAACCTATTATGTTAATGAAACATGTAGAGAAATGGCTAGTTTGAGGAGAAAAAAAATCATTTTAATCTTAATGTTTATTTCAGAAGCAACAAATATTTGATGGTAAATATTTTTGTCTGTTTACTGACAAGAAATGACAATGAACATTGCATGTTTACTAATTAAACATTAGTTAACACATTCTGCAACAAATGTTTCCTCATTAATTAATGTTAGATAACTAATGTCAACTAATATACTTTATTGTAAAGTGTCACCAGTTTGATTTAAACATTAATAATGCATTACAGTATTATGACACTGTCATTTTGTAAATACTACATTAATGAGTCTAACAGCAATTAATGACATTACAACACTTTGGGGATGTCTTGAAAATGTTGAAGCATTTGTAAAAATGAAAAATAAGCAAAATATGTAGAGCTAAAGACAAAATTACTCGCCATGATGTGACATTTATATAATGTTTTAAATATTTCCCAATTGCTGTTTAAGATTTTCAACATTTTTAAATATTCATTCATTCATTCTTTTTTCAGCTTAGTCCCTTTATTAATCAGGGGTCGCCACAGCGGAATGAACCGCTAACTTATCCAGCAAATTTTTACGCAGCAGATAGCTGCAACCCATCCATGAAGAATTTTTAGACATTAAACATTTTAATAACTATTTTGCCTTTTCTGTAATGACAGCACATAATATCTGACTAGATATATAAAGATACTAGTATTCAGCTTAAAGTGTCATTTAATGGTTTTACTTGGTTAATTATTAATTAAGTCATTCGGAAAAGGGAGGCTTATATTATTCTGGCAAATCTACAAGTAATAAGACTTTCTCTGGGATAAAAACATTTGAAAACATGTTGTTAAAACTGTATTATTTAGTCTTCAACTGCATGATGCAAACATAAACATAAAACCTTTTATATGTTTTCAGATTTTGGTGTGAATTGTGACCCGTACATGTTGCTGTTGCTGTTGTGAGTGTCAGAAGTACTTTAACAAACCTAATCTTCCTCTTCTCCTGTAGATTTTGTTTTTTGTGAGGACTATGCAGAAATGGGAGGCCGGATCACGTTTACTCCCAGCATTCGTGGAAAGCCTGTAGAAATCCTGTGGAAACACAATGGAGATAAGGTTGTGGAGTATGACAACAGGGAGACGGAGGAATTCGGATCATTCAAAGACCGGGTGGTGATTGATTTCGAAACAGGACAGCTCACAATAAAGAAACTGACCAGTCAAGACAGCGGACAATACCAGTCTGACATCACGATCAACGGGAAAGTCCAGAGCTCCAGACATACTTTAACTGTTCTGGGTGAGTTACAGACGCAGCTCATCGACAGACAGCAGAAGACTAGATACTAAAGGGGAACTATTATGCAGAACTCACTTTTATAAACCCAGTAGTGTGTGTGTGTGTGTGTGTGTGTGTGTGTCAGCAGTGTGTGAATATCTCCAGCCTCTAATGGTCAACATGAATGAATTGTGTTTATTATAATCAGACTTGATGCAGAAACACTGTGATTGACATTCTCCCTTTGTACATGTCAACAGAGAGGAAAAGCCCCGCCCACTAAAGCCCGTCTTTCCATCTCTTTAGCATAAGCAGCAGGCCTGAGTGAGCAGCAGCCGTCTGTCCATTCGCCATTAGAGTGTTTGAGCTGCTGAAGATGATGTCAGCATAGACTAAGAGGATTATAGATGTGGAGTTTTAGATGAAGGAGCAACATAGACTGACAGAAGCATCAAGCACACACACACACTGAAGCACACACACACACACACACACACACTGCTGTTTTACATGTTGCTGTAGCTCCGCCCACTTCTGAAAAGAGCACAATCTCATTTGAATTTAAAGCGACAGTCACCAAAACACCACAGTTTGGCATTACATCTTACATCTTTTGTATTTACATCTTGTAAAATGGGCAATAACAGGTCTCCTTTAAATTACAATGTCTGGATTTGAGTGTATGTGTCTGTCTTTGATATCAGAGAGTTTTTACATCCTCATATCCTGTCTGCTTTTGTGTTTCAGATGTTCTTCCAGATCCTCGAGTGACCTGTGCAGTGAACAAGACCTCAAATCTTCAAGAGCTGTTGTGTTCAGTGGACTACAAGACTCAGCTGCAGTATAAGTGGAGCGGGCCGAATGTGATCGATCATCCGGGAGTAAAACTGACCATCAGCGAGCAGCAGAAAAACAGCGACTCCGTCTACTCCTGCACTGTGAAGAATGAAGTCAGCAGCAAAACAACAGACTTCAATCTGCAGCACTGCGTCACAGGTCGGCTTATTAAATGTTCCTGATGCGATTAATTGCTGAAGCTTTTATCACGGTGTGCAGTAGTGTTGTCACGATACTGGAATTTACAACTTCGATAAGATGCATTGAAAAATCTCAATATTCGATACCATTTTTGATACCATCAAATTCTGCAACATTATTAGTATGCAAATGAAGTAGAATTAACCAAACCATATCATGCTTCTATGAGGTACGTCAGCAGTCTGTAAGTCCAAAAGGCAATGCAAAAATGCACATGCAGTTTATTTAAAGAGAACTCAATAGCAGGAGCAAACAGTAGCATAAAGATAATCCAAAACACAAAGTCAAAATACAGGATAATGATCAGGCGGCAAACTATCAAAACGTTAACAAGACACGGATCAAACAACAAGACAAACAGGAAAAAACAATGTAATGCAATGTTCACTAGGCAAAACAAGACTCAGCAACGTGTGTGTGAGGTGAATATAAAGTCCAGGTAATTTACCAGGAGTTTGCAGCTGTGTGTGTGTTTTTGTAATCAGAGGGAATCAGAAACTGGTGTGTGTGTGAAGTGCATGATGTTATTTGTAGTCCAGTTCAGTGACAGATCTGTAAGTGATCTGCAAGGATTAGATGCAAGATGGCGCTTATACAAATGACGTACAATGATAGATAATAAGTGCTCAAGCCGAGAATACTTGAGCCGAGCACAACATACAAGACAAGACAGGACTAGTGTCTGGACTCTACCACCGAACAAGCAGGAATTGACAAGACCAGAGGGTCAGAATCCTGACAATATGTCTGTTCAGAAGTCGACTAGTTAATCATTTAACACAATGTATTTGAATACTCTGATAAACACTGACAAATATTACACTTTGAACCAACTAAAAATACTGTATAATTTAACTTTGGTTCAAACTATAAAACTAAATTAGTCTAATTCATTCATTCATTTTGTTTTCGGCTTAGTCCCTTTAGTCATCAGGGGTTGCCACAGCAGAATGAACCGAAAACTTATCCAGCATATGTTTAATCAAGTGGATGCCACATCACTGGGAAACCCCATTCACACTTGTATTCACACTCATACACTACGGCTGATTTAGCTTCCCCAGTTCCCCTATAGCGCATGTGTTTGGACTTTAGGGAAAACCGGGGAACCCGGAGGAAACCCACGCCAACATGAGGAGAACATGCAAACTCCACACAGAAATGCTCACTGATTCAGCCGGGACTCAAACCAGCAATTTTTCTGCTGTGAGGCGATCGTGCTACCCACTGCGCCACTGTTATGCCCATTAATCAAAAATCAAAAATATTTATTATGATTAAATAATTAATTAAACAATTTACTCAAAATCAGAATATTGTTTAGTATAGAGACACTAAATATATATTTTAGTTTAAAGTAGAAATCTTATTTAGCCTTTAGATCAAAGTATAATTTTTGGACCAACCTAAAATATTACCGTAATTTTTTACAGCTAAATTTATAAATTACTCCAAAACTAAAGTTTTGACCTAAAAATGTAGATTAAAAATGTAATTTAATACTAATTAAAATATTTATTCTGCTCAAAGAAAGAAAGAAAAAAACATACAATTTTAACAAGGAGTTAAAATGTTGATTTTTATAGACGATCAGTTAATTGAATTGCTCTAGTTTGACTTAAAAATCTAAATCCAGGTTAAGTTGTACTGCACTAAACTATAATAAATACATATAATGTTAGTTAGTAATGCTATTGACAGTCTTTTTATTATCTAAAACTATCTGCTGGTGCTTTCAGTATGGATATTAAGGTAGTGTAATCTCATTTTAGAGATGCATAAAAACTGAAAGCACATAACCATGACATGAAGACTGCTGTTTACACTAAAATATCACTTAAAGAGAAACTAATGTTTTAAAGTCTAGCGTTTTTTATTTATGGCAAACTGAATAAAACAGGTTATAATCAGAAACCATCATTTTTCACCTAACCCAATATAATAATGGAGTTTAAATGAAAGACAGCAGTTTCAGTTTGTTCAGTGTAGTCTCTGATACTGACGCTGTGTTTCATTGATTGTGCAGGAGCAGCAGCGAGGCTTGAAGTGATTATTCCAGTCTTAATAGTAATACTTTTCATTTTCCTCATAATACTGGCGATAATCATCTACATGAAGAAAAAGTGTAAGTGCCAAGAAACAAAAACAACAAATCACCCTTTAATTCACACTCATGTCTGAGAAAGATTTTATTACAAAGATTAACATCATTTTCTTGCATGTGTGCAAACGAGAAGCAAAGGAGTCTGAACAGGAGAAAATGGACCCTGAGAATGGTAAGCTCAAGCTTTGTGTATATTCATAATTATAATATTTTGTAAATATCTGCATTGAAATCATTGATATATTTCCCTCTGAACATTCAGTGCAGTTTATGCTGCCGACACTCGAGTTTGAGCTTGCAAAATTTTGCTGTACGGTGCTGCAAAAAGAGGTGGGGATTAAACAAGATGATTAGACATAAAAAAAAATTAAGTGATTGCTCCTGTCCAGAGAGGTCATGTTTTGATCTTCAATTGGTCTCATGCAATCAAGTCATGCGATTTCAAAGGTCAGAGTTCACCAAGCTTGAACTTTCCAGTGATCTGCAAAACTTGAAGCACGAGCTTGTGTTTCTGGTCTGACACATTTACGTGCATATGAACGGAAGTCTATGGAGAGAAAAGTGCAGTGTGACAGCAGCTTTAAAAAGAGACATAATTAACAAAGCAGTGAGATGTTGATTAGCATGGGCAGTTTGAGATTCTGACGGTATGATAAAAATATCACAGTGTTGTGTTTACTACTCTAAATATGCTTTTTTTAAATGTCTGGGTAAAAAACAACAGCTGTTTGCCAGTGAACACAATATATTTAATTTTTATTCATTCATTCATTTTCTTGTCGGCTTAGTCCCTTTATTAATCCGGGGTCGCCACAGCGGAATGAACCGCCAACTCATCCAGCAAGTTTATACGCAGCGGATGCCCTTCCAGCTGCAACCCATCTCTGGGAAACATCCACACACACATTCACACACACACACTCATACACTACGGTCAATTTAGCCTACCCAATTCACCTGTACCACATGTGTTTGGACTGTGGGGGAAACCGGAGCACCCGGAGGAAACCCACACAAACGCAGGGAGAACATGCAAACTCCACACAGAAACACCCACTGAGCTGAGGCTCGAACCAGCGACCTTCTTGCTGTGAGGCGACAGCACTACCTACTGCGCCACTGCTTCGCCCTCTATATTTAACTTTAAGAAACATTAAAAATATTTTGTAAAAGTCAGGCTTAATAATTTAAATAAATTATTGACAAACAACCAAAATAATCTGCCAATGGGGTAATCTAAATATTCTAGTTTTTCCTTTTGACGTAACAATACTTTGCTTACACCATTGGCAGATTATATAGCTTGTTGCAATTTAAAAAACTCACTTAATTTTGACATTACTTGTGAAAACAAGACAATGTGCTGTGCTTGTCTAAAAAATGCTTCTTGATTTAAACATGTTTAGATATTTGGACTAAATAGAAGACAAAAACTCTGAGTATGAAAAGCATTTTTGCTGTGTTCAGAGATTGACTCTGAGTCTGTTTTTAAGTGATTTGCTTTGTTTCAGCTCTCAGTCAAACATCACTTTTGTCTCAAAATGAAAGGCCGGATGAGGAGAACAGATCAGACAGTCCAGGTGTAAATGAGGAAGAAAAACTTCTGAATCCCAGTGGAAATGAGGGAGAGCAGTGCAATTATGTGAACAGTCCGCATACATTTGTAGCAGTAGGAAATGCCAGCAGTCAACCTAATGTAACTCTGAACCGAAAACCCCTAGAAGACCAAGATAAAGTGAAGGATGGACAAAGAGAGAAACCGGAAGAACAAAAGACTGATAATGCTAAGAATAATGAGAAAAATGACAAAGTAGCAGGAAAGGAAAAGGAGAAGAAAAAGGAGCAACAAAACACAGGTAAAATATGCTTTTCTGAAGAAAACAAAACTTGATTCAAACACACACAAAATCAGTTTTGTTTTATTTTGCTGTTATATTTACACTAAAAGAGCTTTAAAGGGTTTGTTCAACTCAAAATATAAATAATCCCATTATTTACCCACACTGAAGGCATCTTGGGTGTAAATGACTTTCTTATTTACATCAAAAGTTTGGGTTATTTTGATTTATTTCTGGGTCTGTCAAGCTTTACAACAGTGCTACGCATGCGAGAGAGATTAACTAAACGGCAGGCATAGGAAATGTCTTCTCTTGGCTATATCAGATTCATTCATTCATTTTCCTTCAGCTGAGTCCCTTTATCGGGGGTCGCCACAGTGGAAAGAACCAATAACTTATCCAGCATATGTTTTACGCAGCAGATGCCCTTCCAGCCGTAACCCAGCCCTGGGAAACAACCATACACACTCATTCACAAGCTGAAAAAAATTACAAACTACCAGGAGAGAAAAACAAAGAGAAAAACAAAGAGGAAAATGGGCAACCAAACACAGGTACAGTATGTTTGTCTGAGGATACAACACTTGATTCTGCATTTTTGTTATTAATTCTCTCTGTTTTTGTTTTTTTCAACGGCTGTAATATTTGCACCAAGGCTGTTTCCCCAATTTCCTGGTATATTTATGCTACTGCAACATTCTTTTTTAGAAATCAAAGTGATGAACGGTTATAGATGACAAAGTGCCATGAATAGATTAATCCCACCAAGCAACTTTGTGTTTAAAAGAAGTCTAATAAATGTGTAAACATAATCAAATACACACAGATTACACCGACTCTGTGTGTTGATGACTAGTCTGTTTTAGACATCTATTAGACATTTATTAGTAGATGTCGATTAGATTTCCAGAGACTATTATTATTATTATTAGACGTCTAGTAGACGTCTATCCAATTTTCACTGACACTGGCTTGTTTTAGTCTGTTTAAAAAATCTATTAAATATCTTCATTTGTAAATTTTTCGTTCAACTTAGTCCCTTTATTAATCCGGGGTCGCCACAGCGGAATGAACTGGCAACTTATCCAGCATAGGTTTTTTTTTACAGCAGATGCCCTTCCAGCTGCAACCTATCACTGGGAAACATCCACACACACTCATTTACACACACATACACTACGGACAAATTTAGTTTACTCAATTCACCTGTAGCGCATGTCTTTGGACTTGTGGGGGAAACCGTAGCGAACCCAAACACGGGGAGAACATGCAAACTCCACACAGAAACACCAACTGACCCAGCTGAGGCTTGAACCAGCGATAATCTTGCTGTGAGGCGATCATGCTCGCCACTGCGTCACCCTATTAGATATCTTTTAAACACAAAATGAAATGCTGACCAGCATGTGGCTTAATTAATATATGATAACAGTATTCCAGAAATTTCTCCTTTTATGTTCCACTGCAAAAACAGCAAGTGTTTAAAGCCGACCTCAAATTCAGGAATAATATGTACTCTGTAAGCAATAACTAACCTTTACAAATGACATTTTGTTCTGTCTTAATAAAGAATTACCTGAAAATACACACCAAGATTTAAACAGGCAAAAAACATCTCCAGCGCAGTCAGATCAGTGCCGTCAAAATCACGAAGAGGAAAAGAAGCCAGAAAAGAGGAATGAAAGTGGAGAAACGTCAGATCAGCAGCAGAATGAGGGTGAAGTCACAGCCACAAATGAGGATGAACAGACCACAGGAGCAAACACACAGGAGAAAGACCATAAGGAGACGAAGGAATCACACACAGGTGAAATGCTGACGATGTCTGTATTCATATAAAGCACGACACGGACACTGAAAAACTGCTGTCTTTCATTCAAAGTATATTTTTAAAGTGGAAACGTATGGTTTAAACTGTGTTGTTACATTTTTCCTTAAACCAACCCACATAAATTTACTAACTGACATATCTTGAACATCTCAGAGGGTTCGAGTCCACAGTCTGATGAGATGAAGAAAGTCAAAGAGGACACAAAAACTAGAGGAACACGAGACACAATGGAGAACAAACAAAATGCAAATGAACAAAAAGAACTGGACCCGCAGAAAGCTGAAGATGAAAAGAAAATACTGGAGGAAAACCACGAGGAAAACACAGGTAATAAATGATGTTTGTCTCTGGACTTAAATCTAGCAGCAAATCCCTGCAATCTGAAACACACATATTCTCCATGTTCTGTTCACATTCAGGAATTAGATTTTTTATTTATTTACATATGATAATTGTGACAAAATGATTCACTCTCTTTTATTCTTTGTCAAATATTCCCCAAATGATGTTTAGCAGAGCATGTTTATAGTGTTTCCTATTATTTATTTGGCGGGGGCCAGGGGGAGTCCGATTTCTTTTAGTTTAGATGTAAAATAATTTAGTGTAAAAACTAAACTCCCTTAAGAAATATAGATTTTTCAACTATCTCCAGAACAAACCACTGTTATACAATGACTTGCCTAATTACCCTAACTTTACCCTGATTACCCTAGTGAAGCCTTTACATGTCACTGTAAGCTGAACACTAGTGTCTTGAAGAATATCTAGTCTAATATTATGTGCTGTCATCATGATGAAGAGGAAACACATCAGCTATTAGAGATGAGTTATTAAATGTGTTGTCAATAATAATCTCTCTGTTAAATTGGGGAAAATATAAAAGAAATTAAATGTAACGGGGTGAATAATTCTGTCTTCAACTGTGTTTAAATATATTCAACATATTTTTTTAATGCTACAAAAAAAACTCTACACTGGCTGTTTATGTGCAAACCTGATCATCTGTGTCTAGCAGACTTCAATTATACAAGCAATAACTTACTTTAATGAGGAGAAGGATGCAGATTTACTAATCGACATATCTTGAACATCTCAGAGCGTTCGAGTCTACAGCCTGCTGTGACTGAAGAAAACAAAGAGGACACAAAAACTAGAGGAACACAAGACACAGTGGAGAACAACCAAAATGCAAATGAACAAAAAGAACTGGACCCGGAGAAAGACAATATGGCCCATCAGACAGCTGAAGATGAAAAGACAAAACAGGAGGAAAACCACGTGGAAAACACAGGTAATTAAAATGATGTTTGTCTCAGGAAACAAATCTAGCAGCAAATCACTGCATTCAGAAATTAAGATATTCTCCATGTTCCATCATTCACTCTTTTATTCTTTGTCAAATATTCCCCAAGTGTTGTTTAGCAGAGCATGTTTCCTATTATTTATTAGTTTTCGGGGAGAAAGTCTTGTTTTTTTGTTTGGATGAAAATAATTTAATGTAAAAACTGCTGTAATCAATAATATTCATATTGTTTTCAGTTTAAATGTCACTGTAAGCTGAACACTAGTGTCTTGAGGAATATCTAGTCTAATATTATGTGCTGTCATCATGATGAAGAGAAATAAATATTAGAAAATGAGTTATTAAAATGTGTTGAATAAATTCTCTCTGATAAACAACACTTGGGAAATATTTGTAAACTCACAGAACAGCTCATATTTAGTCTCCAGCTGTATGTTGGATTAGTGGATGATTTTTCTTGTTCACTTTTGCTACAGATTCAGCATCAGAGAAACAGACGATACAAAACAACAGTGATGCATTGTCCAGTCAGAATGAGCACAGTGCTGATACTGAGAAGAAGAGTGTGAAACCTGACAACAACAAAGACAATAATGAAGCAAAAGCTGATCATAATGATGACGATGTAGAGAGTCCACGAAAGGAAGAAACTACTGGAGAGAAATCTGAAAATTACGATGATAATAATGGAGAGGGAGATGAGAGCAGCGAGTCAAAACAAGACATGAAGGAGAGCAATAATCCTCCAGATGCAGGGATTGGTGAACTTTTACAAGACGATCAAGGAAAGAACCCTGATCATGAGCAGAAAATAGATGACCGGTCTGTGCCAAAAGATGAACAGCACGATATACAGAGCGACAACTTTCAAAACCAAGAACACCAGAACAAACAGAACTCTACAGAAAGAGAGAATAAACCTCAACATGAGATCAGCCCTGAGGGAAACGAAACAGACAGAAAAAATAGTGAACTTGAGGAGGAAGAGAGGCAACGTCTTCAAAAATAAAACTGAAGCCTCCAATAATGCTGTCTAGAGGAAAACATTCAACTCTTCCATTGTTTTTCAGTGTAAACGCTTACTTTTGACGGATGTGTGTGATCATTACACTCACACTTTTCAGCGCCACCTTATTAAATTATTTATTAAATTATTTAAATCATCTCTAATTTTGCGAGCATCAATAGACACTGATGATGGTGATGCACTTAATGGTCATCAGCATCTTACATCCTCAAAGGTTTTTAATATTTAGATGTTTTTAATGTGTGCACGTTTATAAAGTTTTACTTTATCATCTAATTACAAAAAAAAAAAAAACAGAATTCAGCTCTTATGCGAGGTGTTTGTTATGCAGGCTGTGGGAGAATACGTTTAACATTTTTGTAAGTTGCAGTAACACTATCGTGGAGTTTTTCTATTAATGTTTGAGCAAATTGGAATTCACAGAAATGTATTTGTGGTAATCTCCCATTCACTGCTGTTGCTGAGGGACTGAATGAGAGGTGTAAGGCCAGAAGTAGCACAAGGGGGCCTCAGTAAGCTCTGTGGGGTTTTTTTGTGTTTTTTTGCAGTGGAGAATTAGGAGAACGATCATGTTGCCGTAGTTCATTTCCTCTCCTGACTGACCAAGAAAATTGACAAATTTGTTATTCGTCCTCCACAAAAAAAGACAGTCATTGATTCACAGCAGCTAATACTAATACTAGATCCAAACATTTTGGGTCACAGCACTAGCAATACTGGAAACACGAAATGCAGGAAATACTAGGATAGTTTCCTGAACTATGGCTTTATTTCATTTTCTCGAAGCAAAGAGTGCCTGACCCAGCCACAAAGTATTATCTGCGGCAAAGTTCTTGCTTATAAATGCACGAGGCTGTCCAAATTAATAACACATTTGCAGATGACTCCAATAGTATCTGAATGCAGCCTTTATGATGCAAGCTTAGATTACATCCCTCAGTGATGCAATATCAGATATAATGCACTCAATGGAGCGAGTGACGTCACTGTGACGGGTGGGGTTAGGGGTGGAGTTGGGTGAGTGCATTGGATGCAGCTCAGATTGCAACGACTCATCCACCGCAACAAGCCCAGAGCATTTTTGCAAAAGAATTGACACCCAACATGAGATGATGGACATCACAGCAACTGAGAAGAAACTTTCGCAACTAATATAGGGCCAATCAAAAGACCACAGGCTCACGTTTTTCAGTTACTGATGGCCAACTGATGTTTTGCGTTTATATTTTACATTAGGCTATTTGTGCATAAGCATATCTAGATATAGTAATAAACATACCGTTTGTTTAAAAACAAATTTGTTGGTCATTATTACTGCACACTTTTATGAGCGGTAATATAATTAAATCTTACCTTACAAGGGCCTTACAATATTTTCCAGGGGAAAAGGGGGTCTCTGGCAAAAAAAAAAAAAGGTTGAGAACCACTGCTGTAAAGTACTTGACTTAATCTGTAGTAGATCTATAGTTGCTATCCTAACACAACAACTATAGTAATATGACCAAATACTTAAAAAAAAGAATTTATAAAACACCTTTACTGTATTAAAAACTAAACTACAGTATTTATTACAGTTTTGCTGAATGCTTTCCTGATCAAATTGTCATTTCTTTTTTCTTTTTGTGCTCCTCTGTACATGGAGATGTTTTTAATCATTATTGAAGGTGAAAGAATTACTGCAGTTTCATTTTTGTCTTATGGGTTTAAAAGTGTGACAGACTAATGGAGAATTAAATTGGCTTGAGGTTTAATGTTGACTTTTTAATGAATAAATGTTGAATTTGGTGTATACAAACGTACAAACAGGTATGAGAAATACAGGTGTCTGTAAAGAATATACCTGTGAGGAACATGAAAATATGAGTCCTTCAGCCTGTCATTAAAAACAAAAGGTAAATGTAACGTTACAATTAATGTAATATGTGGTAATAAAGCAAAAATGGTGGCATAGCCTATAGCTCTTCTGTTAAAATATAACTTTAAGATTAGATTCAGAGATTAAATCAACTGTGAGTTTTCCTGCCTCTCCGGCTGGGTTTAGTGTGATGTCACCGGCTCTTGCTTCAGAGAAAATGAATCAGGTTCAGCCTGGCTCCTGTCGAAACCCGCATTATCATGTAGAGAGGAAATAAGAGAGTAAGAGAAAAGGATCTGCTCATTTAAGGATGGTGGACTGTGGCTTTCGGCTGTGGCGCTTGTTTCTGCTGTGTCTCACAGGACTCCTGCGCTGGGGTGAGTCTCAATGTTTTTATTATATCGCGAAAATATATCTGATTTTTATTGACGCTATTTTAAACACACACCGTTTCTGTGTGAACTGCTGTCTTTGATTATCACGAACACAATGTAGAAACATGTTGGATGGTTAAAGTGTTAGCTCATTCAAAAAATCTACCTGTTGAATGATCTCCGTCAGTTAGCAAACATAACCAACTAGCCGAATGACCGTCAAATATTATTTAACAATATCGTAAAAGTTACAGGTGATCTTTACTACTTGTGAATTATATTATATCACATCTAAAGCTAAACAATAGATTCGTTCTGTATTTGTGTTAAAAATAAAATATCCACGTCGGCTATATTCAGTTTGTTGTTTCACGAAACAAACCCTCAACCGGGTGAACAGGATCCTGAAACAAAGCGAGACAATTCCCAGCGCAAACAGGTTGAAACAAGACATACACAGGTCATCATGATGTAGGAGAGAAAGAGTTCTTGGGTAATCTAATAACTAAACTCAACTTAAATTCAGTAAACTGAAGAATATATTAGATGTACACAACACGGCTAATCATACATCATGTGTCCATGACAGCTAATGATCAACTAGACACAAATGAGGAACATAATCACACATGAGGGCTTGTATACTGTTAAAACTGCTGTAAAAACGTCCAGGTTATGCCAGTAGAAGTGTTTTCCTCTTTAAAAATAATATACCACAGAAAATAATGCATTTAAGCAACATTTAGTACACTATTGCATACACTGTTCAGTATTAAATCCACTTGAGGTGAGAATACACAACCTTACAAAAATTAACCATGACTTTGTTTTAGAAAATAATGTAGTAAATATGATTGTACTGATGTTTTTGACACTGGTATTACTGTAGTAATGTTGTAGTAATACAATAATAACACTGTAGGAACTACTATGTGTTTTGGCATGTGCTATATTATAGTAATGTTGTAGTAATACTATGACAACACTGCACTATCCATGACTGTAGTAACCATGTGTTTTTGTCTGTACTGTGAGTTTACTATATTAATGTTGTAGTAATACTATAATAACATTGTGGGAATTGTAGCAAACCATGTTTTTGGTGTGTATTATGGCTTTATAATAGTAATGTTTTAGTAATAATATGACAAAACGGCAGGAACTAGGACTGTATTTGTTTTTGTACTGTGAGTTTACTGTAGTAATGTTGTAGTAATACTATGATTAACACTGTAGGTACTATGATGATAGTAACCATGTTTTTTTGTTAAAACTAGAACTTTTTTATTGGTATCCCTGGTGTGAGAAAGAGTATGAACTTTAAAAAAAAAAACTGGGATTTAAAGCAACCCGGTTTGGATTGTTTCGCAACGCTCAAACATAGACAAACCTAACCATGCATTATTAAAACCAAATACTATACACATTTCTGTCAACCTAGATTAAGGGTTGAAAGTTGTCTTCATAGGACTAATAATATATCTGTCTAACGCCACTCTCCACACAGATCAGTGTGACGGTCAGCGTGTGGTCCAGATCCAGGATGGCCCCCTGTACAGAGTGGAAGGATTTCCCTTCTTCATCTTCTGTAGTGTTAGTGGGTTTCAAGGCTCGAGTGAGCAGGACTTCGAATTTGGTGTCAGAAAAAAAAATGTTGAATTCAACATCATCAGTACTAAAGAGCCAGACTTTGCCTTTGCGAGGTTCTCCAACAGGGTGAAGCAAAAAGAAATTGAGATCGAGAGGCTGACGGGGTCTTCGGCTCTCTTGAGGATCAAAAATGCGATGATGGACGATGCGGGACAAATCTTCTGTCACACCCCAAGTACAGATCCCAGATTGTTTGGAGTATATGAAGCAGAAACAACACTTAACGGTAAGATATTTATCTAAAGCATTATGGTTATTGTACTACTTCAGCTCTTTGCAAATAATCACATTTGATTCACTCATGTTATAGAGTGCAAATCTGCACGATCAAGTAATTCTAGTGATGTGGTCAGAGAAGTTTAGTTGGTCATTAATTGTTACTCCAAGGCTTTTCACCGTTTTGGATGCAGTAATGGTTGAATTTGGATTGAAAAGTTATGGTGTAGAGCCGGGTTGGCAGAAACTTCAATTTTCGTTTTTGTGAGGTTAAGCTGAAGATGATGATCTCCCTGATGATTAAACCCTTCTTGATGTACCATCCATCCTGTCCAGACTCAAAATGTGTGATCCAACCTCTACAAAAATCTGGTCTTAAGAGCCAGATAAAAAATCCTGCGCTCAGTAAATAGGTGTTTCATATCAAAAAAGAGAGACCTAAAATCACTTTCCAGAACCTTTTAGATTACTGTTCCTTGCTGGTGGTTGTTCCACATTGGCATCACCGTCTTTGCTTTGTTTGCACTGTTCTCAACTCCTCGCCACTACCACTTTGACCAACCACAGGTCTGTCTATGCATTGTTGCAATATGTAGTTAAATTTTTGAGAGGTATGCATCAGGGTCACAATCAGAGTATGCATCTGTGTGCACGCTGGACCTACCACAACACAGGTATAAATAGGACTTAAGATAATTGTTTACAACTGCACTGCCCAACCTAAGATCATGGTCATGTTGAGACTATCAGTATGTAGGTACCCTCACACTGCTTGTGTTTTATCGACAGTGATACCGGACACGCTGACGGCTTCGTTTTCTGGTTCTCCCTCTCAGAGTCTGTTTGAGAGTGATCCACTTCAGCTTGAGTGCCAGGTCTACAGTGAGACTTTTCAACACACCCATCTGTCGGTCACCTGGTACGTCCATAGTGGAGGAGATGAGGACCCCCGACCAGTCATTACTCTGGACAGAGATCTCACTATAAAGCCAGGAGGAGGATTTGAGGATCGCTACCATGCAGGTCTGATCAGCATGGATAAAGTGGAGGACACAACATACAGACTGAAGATGCCTCAAGTGCAGCAGTCAGACCAGGGGAAGTTCTACTGCCATGTAGTTCAGTGGATTCAAGACCCAGACCGAACCTGGACAGAAATTGCGCACAAAACCTCTACAGCATGTGATGTGGAGATCAAACCAATCGGTGAGGTTTAGATTTTATAATTTAACCCAGGGGTTCTAACCTAACCTAACCTGTTTGACCTCATATTTCCTGTCTCAATAGTGGCCACTGATGTAGGATCGTTCAGTGTTTATATGAAGGCCTCAAAAGAGTCTCTTCAAGAGGGAGATGCACTAGACATCCGCTGCAGTGTGAAAGCACAGAATCTTCCTGGCTATTTCTATTCTGTGACGTGGATGAAGAACGGGAAGAACGTGGCCCAGATCGGACTTTCTGGGATGCTCACCGTATTTGATAGTTATAAAGACAGAGAGAATTCAGCAGAGATGAGAGCAGTGAAAACAAGTCTAACAGACTACCTGCTGACCATCCATTCAGCTCGAACTGAAGATCAGGGCCAATACCAGTGTGAAGTATGGCAGGAGAGCATGAATGAAGACGGCACCTTCAAAAGAGTGCAAAAACAACTGTCCAACCCCGAGACTGTGAACATCACGACTAAAGGTAATTGCTCCTCCTCTACAATCTTAAAATACTCCACACATTGGTTTGCATCTTGTAGATAGACATTATTTGTACAATGAAAGCTTTAGCATGACCATGCGCACCCTGACGCTGTCTGTTCTTGCTTGTCTGGTCAGAGAGTGATCTGGCTGTGGTCATGATGATGAAGGATGCAGTGACTGAAGGAGATGCTCTACAGGTCACCTGCTCTGTGTCGGGGTTCAAGGGTTCTTTATCAGTATCATGGCAACACAAGAAAGACTCTGTGGACTCCTTCAGTGACGTCACTAGTCTGACCCATGAGGGAGTGATGAAAGATACTGGGATGAGGTACCAGAGTCGCCATGTTCAAACTCTCCATTCTCCAGCTGGAAACTTCACCCTGGAGATTGGTGAAGCTGGATTATCTGACAGTGGTGAATACAGGTGCATTGTGTCTGAGTGGATCATACAGAGCAATGGCGAGATGAAGAAAACCCACACCCAGTCTCAGCAAAATAAAGTTGCAGTGCGTTCAGTTGGTAAGACTACACACACACACTAATCTCAGGAACACAGAAACCTTCTGCATCAGTAGACGTGCAACCTGTGTCATTACTTTTCTCCTATTTTCACTGCATGTTACTGAGAGCCGAGTATGAATAATCACAGCATGTTTTCCTTTCAGAATCTCTAATGAAGGTCACCTTGATAAGTCGCGAAATAACTGCACCTATAGATTCTCCAGTCAAGTTACTGTGTAAAGTTGAAAGACCTGAGGTTTCATTGGCTGTACGCTGGATGTTTCAGGCTTTCAATTCAACTGCACAGAAGGATATTTTAACAATACACAACGCTGGAGAAATCACCTGGTTAACAGATCAGAGAAATTATCAGCTGTCAGTTCAAGAACAGTCTTCCAGCACAATATTCACTCTCATCATGCCGAGAGCCAGCAAGCGGCAAGAAGGACAGTACCAGTGCCAAGTTGATGCCTATCAAAGGGGTAGACAGAAAGCCATGAAGAACTCCAACCTACTAGCAGTGACTATACAAAAACCTGGTAAATACAGCTGCATTTATAAAGTGCATTCCTCCTCTTTAAACCGTTTATACTCTATACCTTTTAATGTATTCCTTACACTAACCTACACTTTTATTCCTATACTGGTGTAAGTATGAGCTGCAAACAGAACTAGAGTCCATTTGCAGAAGTTTTTAATAAACACATTTAACAAAAGCAAAGAACAGGGGAAGCAGTCCACACAATAGACAAACACCAAGAGGTTATCAAATGCAGCAGGAGAACAATCAGTCAGAAAGGTCAAGCACAAAGTCAACAGAGCACACTAGTGATGCTCAATATTGTAATACAAATTCTTTTGACAAGTTTCTAGGAAGTAAATGTTAGAGTTGGTTCACAAACTGAACACATCCCCTATTTAATTTCTTAGTGTGTTTGTGTTTCCCTGTCCTTGTACACTCAATCAAGTCAGAATCTGCTATTTTTATAAAGTTTTAACTTTAGATAAATGAAGATTCAGCAGTTTAACATCTCTCTTTTCCTCTCCATGCAATTTCTAATGACAGACAGCAAACTGAGACTGTCGACACTCAAGTCTCGCCAGGAAACCACAGCCAACACTGATGCTAAGATTGAATGCTCCATCCTGAAAAAAACCACAAACTCCTCTCGTTTCACAATTACTTGGATGATTGGGTCTCAGATGCTCTTAAATATGGACCTAGACGCTGTTGTCAAGTATGGTCCAGCAGCTGTTCTACAGATGGACCAGAGAATCCGCATGACAGTAAGACAGAAACACACTTTTCAGCTGACTGTGCATCAGGCCAGAACCACTGACAGTGGCCAGTACCTCTGTGAGGTGGAAGAGTGGCTTCAGGATCCTCTTGGGGACTGGTATTCCCTGAAGAATGTGTCTGCTTCCACAGAGCTTATTGTCAAAGAGCAAGGTAAAACAAGTCTTTTCATTGAACCACATATTAAAGTGATTGTTTTACTTCCGTTTATTTTGGGTCATTATCAAAAAGTCTGTCCAAGTGAAAAGTGTGAACCTTTTTGTAAGACTTAGAAATCCTTGCAGAGGTGGAGGATCAACTCAAATGTGTAGTTCATTAACTAAAGTGTGAATAGAAACAAGCAAATCAGAACTTTTAACAACAATAAGAATGTAACTATTAGAATTGCAAGGTGAATGTACTTCGATGAGATGCAATGTGATGCAATGTGACTGGCATAGTGGTGCATGAGGAGAAAATGGCAAATAGAGAGCCAGGACTAGCCTATAGTGAAACCAATGAATTATATGTAGTAAAGAGAGCCAGACAGTGGATTTGGAACAAGTGAGGACAATGGTCGAGCTAGAGCATGAAGTGTTCATACCTGGTACTTAAGGGTTTAGTTACAAACCATTTATACACACCTTGCACCAGCTAATCAAGCTCTTTACTAGAAACTTTAAGGCAGATATATTGAGGCAAGTTGGACCTACATTCTCCAGGACAGTGACCCTTCAGAGCTGAGACTGGACACCTCTGAGATAGAGGGAAGGTTTAGCAGGTTTAGGTGAAGGGCTGTGTTGGAATCAGGGTAACACAATACTAATGACCATGACTGTCTTTGAGGAATTCAAGGAACCAAAGTGGAAAATGATGGGTTGAGGTGGAGTTCAGGTGGAGAAGCCTTAGGTGGAAGCCTGACAAAGAACAATCTTGCTCTGAACTAATCCAGTTCTGATGTTTTTATGACCTTCTTATCATCATCCAGACTTTGATCAGGTTTTGATCCGTTTGATAATATATATACACACAAATATTATAACATTCTCTACAGAATGGCTTCTTCTGGCTAAATTCTGCGTCTGGAATATTCAGGTTTGGTCAGTTTGTGTAGGTGTTTTATCCGTCAGTTTTCTGGTTGTTTTGTTATCAGTTGTTGGTTTAAGACAGGGATGGGCAACTTTCTATCCTGGAGGGCCACTGTCCTGCAGAGTTTAATCCCAACTCAAATCAAACACACCTGCCTGTAGTTTTCTAGTGATCTTAAAGACACTGATTAGCTTGTTCGGGTGTGTTTGTTCAAGAAAACTCCAGTACTGCAACCAGTACTGAAGTTGAAGACATTTGCACTTCTGCATGGAAAGCAAGGACAGAAAGGACATGCAATCCATCCAGTTTTTCTTAGATCTTCTCTTCATGGTCTAATCCTCGTTGGACATGCACAGAACACCTTCATTAGGAGACTTTCGACTAGAATTCTCACCAGAACCTCCTTAACTTGCTCATTTTGAGGTGGAGGAACAGTGGTTCTGCCCCAAGTCCTTCCTCAAAGTCATGTATTTGTAACTACCTCAACAAGGTAGCCCAGCAACCCAAAAAAGAAAAGTAGTTTTAGCTGCTTAAATAAGTTCTTGGCCTGAGGTGAGTGTTAGAATATAGACTGCATCCTAAATTTACAGCTTCAATAGATGCATTACTGTTACTAGACACACCAATCCACCTACTGACCTTGTGCTCCAACCACCCCTCACTTGTGGATGATTTCTCACTTCCTACCAAGAGGAGACAGTCCACGGTTTTCTGTTTGAGAACCATGACCTGAGGAGTCTGATTCTCATCAACACACATTAATACGCTCACATTGGGGACAATCTGTTTTATATACAGTTCTTTCATATTTAAATTCATATTTCGGGTTCGGTTCCACCACTGCAATACAAAATGACTTAAGTACAATAACATACCTAAAATTCTATTCGAGGGATAAAATTATGTAGGTGTCCTCAATTTTGTTGAGAAAGAAATGTCCACAATATATATGGTCACAGCATAATACAGTATATTACATAACGATAATAGATTTACATCTTGCCCACTAGTATTTACGCCTTATTAACTACTGACCTACCAAACTCTGTTACCCTTTTTGTCCTTGTAGTTTTCTAGACCTAGGTGTCAGGCTGTGTTTCACTCTCAACAAACTTGTTTGATTTTGATGTTGTGTTTGTGTTTTAAACAGAAAGTAATCTGCGTGTGCAGAAGGAGAACCAAACCCTCAACATCACCAATCTTCAGGCTGGGTTCACCGCTGATTGCATCATTGCCTCTCAGTCCAGTGATAAATCTGCCTTTCAGGTCACATGGTTTAAAGTTGAAGAAGAAGTAACCCATGTTATATTCACTGCCAAGCATGATGGTACTCTACACAGTGCTCTGAATGATAAATATCTGGTGTTTGGACGACCAGACGCCACACACTATAAACTGACCGTGCCACAGACCGACCCCACTGATAAGGGGAAATACTACTGTCAGGTAGAAGAGTGGCTTCACACTGATAACACCTGGAAGAGACTGGCTTCAGACCGCTCTGGAGTGCTCTCTGTCCACGTTCACACTGAAGGTAACTAAAATAATGGGATGTATTTTAACTGAGTGCAAAGTCCGAAGTGCATGGTGCAAAAGCATGTCTGAATCCACTTTTGCTATTTTAAAGATGGGAAAAATGATCAGTGCATCAGGGCATGGTCTAAAATGGTTGTCCTTAGTCTATTAATGAGTTATAGGCATAACGTGCATTAAACCAAAGTCTAATCTCCCGTTCCCTTTAAGAGTCAGTCCTGTTCAGAAACATTCGCTAGTCATGTCGGACATTGTAAGCAGAAAAACTGAACGCTTCACTAGAGAGAACATGATTACAGAACAAGCTTCTTCCATTCAAACATAGATTCATGGATGTAATTTCATCATTTTAAGCGCAAAGATTTGCTTCAAAACTATTTCTAAATTCATTTCTAATTTCCAGCAAAGGATTAAGTTAACAATATTACCGAAGTGTGGTCAGGAAACTGAGTTATATCCAAACACACGTCCTGCTCTAATGCCCTTGTGTAGTGATGCATACATGTCTAAAACCCGACAGGTGGAAAAATGTAAATAAAAAAATTCTAAATATAAATGTGCATATAATAAACACGACTACAGCTAATAACAGTAAACAAATGTACATTTTCAAGAATAAACTGGCTTCAACAGAAGCAGAATCCAACAAAGTCTCCTGAGGTGAAGAGGAAGGCCTGAGAGGAGGAGGAGGAAACTGTTTTTATATTTATGTAGAAACAAAAACCTCTTCTTTACATTTTAATCCTTTAATTTTTCATCTGTAAAGATATTTGTGTACTGCTGTACATCCCTGTGTGTGTAATAAGCAAGACGTTGTGGACTGTCATATGCAGATAATACTAACGCGCTCTATATATAATGAATATAAAGCCTGCACCATTGACTTTACCACAGCTTTTAGTTAGTCAATGGTGGTGTTTATTTTAGTTCCTTAAAATAACAACATGCCAATAATGCAACTTAACACACTTCCTTTCAGACCAGCACAGCCATGAGCACAAATCCATTCGCTGTTTAAACACTCTGATGCAAAACATTAAAATGACACCAGCGCCAGGCTGAAACTAGCAAACACTACTGGAGACAGGCATTGCTCCAGGTCTATGATAAGAATTTTTGCTGGGTTAAAAAGTCACTATGTTTGCCTGAACTTATTTCAGTTTTACAATAACTAATATGTATATTTGTGTTGATTTTCAGGTGATTCTGGAAAGCAGATAAACCCGTTAGTCATATTGCTGGGAGTCACTATTCCTCTGATCTGTTTTCTTGTATTGATCATAATAATATTGTTGAGAAGAGAACCCAAGAGGAGTTCTGAACAGAGGAAACAGAAGGACACCCTGTGGGCTGAAAACAACCCTCTTTACCCCCTATAGAGGCGGAATTCTGCCCCCAAACCCTAATCACACAGGGTCAGTGCTGTCTGTGGACCTTGTGTGATTTAGAATCTGAATTTCTGCATTCGCACTGGAGAAGCAAAGCCTGTGAGTTATATCTGGGTTAGGATACCAAGGCTCTCCATGGTCTGGGTAGACGGATAAACAAAGAAAAATACATACTGAATCAGAACAGCAGAGCTTTCATTACCAGACGCTTCTTATTCTGTGAAGTGTACAGTTGTATTGTGGAGAGCAGAATGACCCTGCTGCTGCTGCAACACTATCAGAACACTCCAGCACATATGTCAATCCAGAGAACTCTCAGGAAGATGTGTTTATGCACACGCTATGCAGAATTTACTTTATTTATGAATGTTTGATGATTGAGGCCTAATGGAGGATTTCAGGGGGTTCAGAGAGAAGTGTCGATGCTCATTTGTGAGCCTGGATGACAAATCTGTTTCACTGCTGTGTTTTGGGCTGTAGCCAAACCTGCATTGCATGGGTCAAAATGATTATTTTATATGACAAAATGTATTTTTTATGAAGACATTTAGTAAATCTTCTACTGTAAATATATTACTGATAAGCATACGCTGCAAAGAATGCATTTCTGCCTCGTTTCTAGCCCAAATATATTTAAAACACAAAGAAATCAGGAAGCATTTTCTAGACAAGGGGAAGTTTTGTCTTGTTTTCAGAAATAATGAGTAAAAATAAGCATGTTTTTAAAATCTGCCAATGGTGTAAGCAAAATAAGGTTATTTTGAAACAAAATCTAGATTATTTAGCTTAGCTTTAAGGAAAAACAGAACAATTTCTGAAATCAAGACAATGTTTTCTGCTGGTCTATAAAACTCTTTTTGACTTTTGACTGGAAACACGACAACTCTTGTGCTTAAAGGCATGTAGACATGCTTTTGTCAATGCATGCTTGTTTTTTTGCAGTGTAAGAGCTGTAAAACTGTTTTCTTTATTGTGGAAACTGTTCAGGTTCATTGTAAAAAGTATCCTTAAGTTAGCGGTTTTCCATATTTCATTATTCTTGCTTGTTTATTTCTGCTTTTGAATTGCCATATGCAATCTTGATCTTTCTTCCAACAACTTTTAAGCCTATAAAAGCTTTAAAAAGTGACTTTTATTAACATTTCTAATAGTTTAAAGTATATTTTTACAGTGTATATCAGGATTTTTTAAATCCTAAAATTCCAGATTTTTAAACTGCTGCATCTCTGCCATTAACAGGAAGCTTATTTATTCAGATGATATGTATATAAAACTCAAAATATACAATTTACACAATTTGTCATTTTAACCTGTTTTGAAATGCTATGAAATACTATTTCTATGGGATGGAAACTCAAAATGTTCTCGATATTTATACGTGATTAATCTGCAAATGTTAACATTTTTGAGTTCAAAATGAACGAGAGCTTTCCACTCCCCCTCATGTGTCATTGCGCTCTATAATGAAGGACTTTCTTGTTGTTGCTGGTTTAATTTTTTTGTATAGTCTTTGCTAACTTTAACGTCACTGTATATTTTCAGAACTGTGTGTAGATATTTAGACGTGCTGAATGTGTATATATTTATGCTGGTTTTCTAGATTATTAAATGTGATCACTTGTGTGCAGTGTGTTCTGATTATATTGCGATGAAGCCGTCAGTCATTTTTAGGCAGGTTCAGAAAATAAGGCTTGTTAAATTAACTTGATATAATATAAAAATCTGAAAATGCATGTCATGACTGCTTTAAAGTAGAGTTAATGTGCACCCATCAGAAAACACGAGCAGGCTCAAAGAACCATTTGTGCGATCAGTGTACAGTCATGTGAAATAGTTTTGACACCCTATTAACCTCACATTAAAAAGGTCTGCTCGTAACAGCTCTTAAAAATGGGGCAGCATGTAAACAATAGCACTGAGCTGACCCAGATTCACATCTATTTGCTGATTATTGCTGCTGAAGATGTTAAGTTATTGTTGTGTTTTGAGCTGTACTAACTGGTTGGACTGGGGAAAAAACATTTAGAGTACTATAGAGGCAAACATGATACCAAATCAAGCAGAAGAGAGAAAATAAATCACTGCAAAAATAAAGGTGTGTGTCTAGTTTGAGTCCAAATATCTAAACTTTCATCAATCATGAAGCATTTTCTAGACAAAATCTAAAAAAATCAAGTTTCTCCATAAAACAAGTCAAATAATCTGCCAATGGGGTAAAATAATGTTTTGATTTGAAACAGCATTATTCTGCTTCCCTGTTGTATTTTACTTGTTTTAAAGAGGAACTAAATTTTGACACTATTTCTGAAAACTATTTTCAGATATTTGGACAAGAAAAAAAGAAAAAACTTAATGTAATGCCATCAAATCTTGATGTAAAAGTGCAGATCCTCTATACTGTACTTTGCAAACCATCCCAAATATACAGCTATTTGAGTGTGTGTCTGATGTACAAGCTGATGTTTATCTGCAGCACTGTGGAAAACTTCCTTTATATTTGTTTATCATACATGCAAATACATTTGCTATATGCAACCCACACTTTGGTCCTGTAATAATGCTCTTGTTGTTCTGTGTTTTTCAACAGCAATTCGACTCTTCAACCTATTTCTGTGTTTATGACACACAAAAATGAATATATCATTGGGTTGTTTATCAGTTATTAAATGAGTAATTGTGCACTGTTTTAAAAGGTTTTTATAGGAACATTTCCATACAGGGTTTTTTTATAAGGCCCGTCATTCATGACATTAGATTCCACTATGTTTACTGAATTTAGCTGAAGAAATGTAGAATACTTTAATGGTGACTAGAATAAAAAATAATAGCTGAAAAATGACAGAAAAACTCCAGGACAATTTCCGACAATCTGTTGTGGTGATTCTACAGTCGCCATGGTAACAAAAACTACAGTAATTAATATGTTGTGGTGATTCTACAGTCGCCATGGTAACAAAAACTACAGTAATTAATATGTTGTGGTGATTCTACAGTCGCCATGGTAACAACAACTACACTAGTTAATCTGTTGTGGTGATTCTACAGTTGCCATGGTAACAACAACTACACTAGTTAATCTGTTGTGGTGATTCTACAATCACCATGGTAACAAAAACTACAGTAATTAATATGTTGTGGTGATTCTACAGTCGCCATGGTAACAAAAACTACAGTAATTAATCTGTTGTGGTGATTCTACAGTCGCCATGGTAACAACTACACTAGTTAATCTGTTGTGGTGATTCTACAGTTGCCATGGTAACAACAACTACACTAGTTAATCTGTTGTGGTGATTCTACAGTCGCCATGGTAACAACAACTACAGCAGTTAATCTGTTGTGGTGATTCTACAGTTGCTATGGTAACACAACAACTATAGTAATATAAACAAATGAGTAAAATCTATAGTATACAGTGTTTATATAAGTACAGTGCAGTTAATACTACAGTATGTTGGAGCATTCATTAACAATGAGTTATAAGTACTGTAGTGTGTAGCATACTTTACTGTAGTATATAGTTCATCAACACTAGTATTTACTATAATTTACTATAGTGTTGTGTAATGTAGGACATTGCGAGTAGGAAGTGCAGGGCTTGTTCTCTGTGGGTTTCACCTGTAATTATAGACGGGTGGAGCTGAGAAACATCAACAGATCGACATTCGACAATACCTGTCCTCTCAGAGAAACAGGGGCACAGACAGTAATGGAGTAAACCTCTTACAGGAGGCTCGTCTTCATACAGCACACCTAATCATGATGTATTTACAGTAAACTAGCACATATTACAGCCTACACTGCTGGAACACACGTCAACAGCTGGACCAACCGGTTTATACACTGAGAGAAAGAGAAAGTGTGAAAATGAGAAGACTCTGCGGAGTGTTGAATCTGTTCATCTGTCTGATTTTATCCAGATTCAGTAAGTCTTGTTTATGATCAAACACTACTGCTTTACAGTGCTGTAATATTCAGGCTAATGTTGAAGACTGTATATTTTGGTTAGCCGTTTGTGGCAATGTTGGCTAACAAGTGCTTCCTTATTTATATACTAATAAAAATACATATACCAACAAATTACAGCAGAACCTGTTTAAACTGATGTTAAAAACTGTGAAGGAGACCTACAGTATCATGCCCCTGATGCCTAGAGCAGGGGTCACTAACCTTTTTCAAACTGAGAGCTACTTCTTGGGTAATGTGAAGGGCTACCAGTCCTGATACACTCTTTTTAAGTAACACATTTTCTCAATTTACTTTTAATTATGTTATTATTAATGATTAATGATATTCATCTATGTGAGCACACTGATCATGTTAATGACTCTAACAATAGTTGTCAATGATTGAACAAGGTAGGAAACGGATATCAGATCACTCCATTTGTCTGAAATAGTTTTGGACGTTTATTTTTATATATAACTTGATGTCATTTCCAATTTTACACCAATGCAAGAGTGGCAGATTTTGTTTATGCTAATGAAGGAGAGATGGCCACCAGTGGGCGGGGCTTTCCCCTCTGATGACGTCATAGAAAGGGAGAATGTCATGTTTCTGCAGACTGTGTTCATCAAGTATGATCAGAACAAACACAATTAATACATGTTCGCCATTAGAGGACACACAAGTGAATTTATAACCCCTTATAAAATTGATTTCTGCATAATAGGACCCCTTTAAGTAAGTTTAATCAGTCAATCTTTTATTTTAAACCTGGCAACACTGTAGGGACACTAAGATGATTTCTGATGTTGTCAAACTTGTTCCGTTTGCTATTATTATAATTTCTGATGTATTAATTTGTCTTCTTTCATTAATCAGATGCGGTTACATCTACCATCTACATTGAGAATGGGAGAACTTTAACTTTAAATGTGACTATACAAGGAAACCCTGAAGAAATCTTGTGGAAATTCAATGGAAACAAGCTGGCAGAGCGTGACTTGACTGATTTTCAAGATTATGGTCAATTCAAGGGACGATCCAGGATTAATATCACTTCTGGTCAGCTCACTGTTCGTAACGCGACCCGCCGTGACAGTGGCACATATGAGTCTGAAATACAGATCAGCGGAAAGCTGCAAATGTCTAAACATGAAGTCCGAGTCATTGGTAAGCGACTTTATGCAAATGAATGAAATAACACACCTGTCCCGTTGCTTAAAGACACAATGCATCATTTTGGCCAGCAGAGGGCGTATATTCACAACAAACAAAGACATTAGTGATTAAAAAGCAGTCTTTAACGTACTTTTTAATTTATTTTTTTTTTTTTTAGAAATTAAGCTTCGTACATTATCTGAAAGCTAAATAAGTGTTCCACTGATTAATAGATTGTTAAAACTGGACAATATTCAGCTGAGGTGCAGCTTTTGAAAATCTGCAATCTGAGAGTTAGAAAATCTGAGAAAATCACCTTTAAGCTGCGGTCACATTAGAGTTTGAGCATGTGATATTCTGTCGTGCGGCGCTGCGAACAGGGGCGCGATTAAACAAGTTTATTAGACATTTAAAAAAGCAAGCGATTGCTCCATGTGTTCAATTTCTGTCCAGAGACAGAGCTCATGTATTGATACTCGATTGGCCTCACGCAGTCAAGTGATGCGATTTCGCAGGTCAGAGTTCACCAACCTTCAACTTTGCTCCTCAGCAACCTGCGAAACTTACCGGTCTGACGCATTCGCATGCGTATGAATAGAAGTCTATGGGAGGAAAAGCCCAGTGTGACCGCAGATTTAAAGTTCTTATGAAGTGCTTTGAAATGTGCATTTTTAATCAATGTTTAACAATCTCGACTGAAACATGGAGAGGGCAGGGCAAACTTCAGATGTGTATATCAGGTTTAAATCTTCTAAATGTGTGTTTTGTCACTGTTTATCAGCTTATAGAGTTCTTTAAAACTGTATTTTAAGTTCACAGGACTTTTGAAGTTGTAGAAATTGAGTTCTTAGCAATGCACATTACTAACAAAACATGCATTGGATATATTATTGCAGTGGGAAATTTACTAAATGCTTTCATGAAACAACGAAAAAAAAGCCTTATTTGTAAAAGTTTTGGCAGTTTCCAAACATACACCAAGACAAAGTTATCAACTGAAATGAAAATGAAATTGAGGTTTTTTTTGGCTTTATGAAATTACAAAAAATAAATAAAAATCAAAATACACTGATTATTGTACATCCCGTCCTCAATCATATACAGCTTTGATAATGACTATTAGTCCTACAGCCTGAAATCAAATCTCTTTTCCAGCCTTTAAAATGTTTTTGTATCTCTTCTCCAACCCTGTGCCTCTACAACATCATCATGAAGGTCTTCTGGAAAGCAGGTTTTCTATAGGCACAGTGACATTACAATCAATGGAAGATTTTATTTTCATTTCTCAGCACATTTACACACACGTGTACACAATCACAGTGGTCTAGATTGAGTTCTCAGCATTGCATGTTATTAACTAAACGTGTTGTGTTCTGTATATATTTACAGTAGGAAACTTACTAAATGTCTACATCTTTATCTTCACTATATTCTGTTTCTGGTCATGAGAAAAATCCATATTTTAGAATTTATAGCCAAGTAATGAGACATAGCAGCATGAGCTGTTGTCCTCCATGGTCTCAGATGAGATGTGTGTTTCCATCAGACGCAGTGCAGAAGCCGAGTGTGAGCTGTAAAGTCAACAAAACAACAGAATCTACAACCCTGCGGTGTTCAGTGCCGGACCCACAGTCTGTGAGCTACAGATGGACCACAGAACAATCAGATTCAGATCAACACTTGGGTCCGCAGCTCCAGATCAGCTCAGACCAGCAGTCAGACTCTGTTTATACCTGCACCGTGAGCAATCCTGTCAGCTGGAGTAACACCAGCGTGACCCTGAGAGCCTGCGGCACAGGTATACACACACACACACACTCCAGTATAATACAAGTGCTGCTGATCATGGAGATCGCTCTGCTGATCATTGAGTCTATTCATGAGTGACATGGTGGCGCAGTAGGTAGTGCTGTCGCCTCACAGCAAGAAGGTCGCTGGTTGGAGCCTTGGCTGGGTCAGTTGAGGTTTTCTGTGTGGAGTTTGCATGTTCTCCCTGTGTTGGCCTGGGTTTCCTTCTCCGGTTTCCCCCACAGTCTAAACACATGCAGTGCAGGTGAACTGGAGAAGCTAAATTGTCCATAGTGTATGAGTGTGTGTGGATGATTCCCAGAGATGGGTTGCAGCTAGAAGGGTATCCGCTGTGTAAAACATATGCTGGATAAGTTGGCGGTTCATTCCACTGTGGCGACCCCAGATTAATAATGGGACTAAGCCGACAAGAAATGAATGAATGAGTCTATTTATTTACTTGTGTGTGCATATATATTTCAGTTTAAATTAATTTCAGCACTATTATTGACTACTAATATGCAGATGTCTACATAATTTATATACAGTAGTTTGTCATGTGTTCTGTCTTTTAGTGGATGCATGACTATATAAGAGATTTTCTTTGTTTACCAAATAACTGATCTAATTGGATCTCCATTGTAAGCTTAATAGCGCATCCTAACAACACATAACGCAACTAAACTCTATAGTGACTAGCAATGTCTGTGTGCACCAAACGCAACACGACCGAAGCATTCCAATACCAGCCTGCTCTCCCAACGAAATGGGGGACGATATAATTAATACATATTTAACTATATTAAAAGTTCATCGGCTGAGTGACTGATGTGGTTGGTGATTTGCATTCTTCATGCAGACAGAGATTTAAAACACAACAAAGAAACTGAAGTGGGGAAAACTCTTTATAAAGTACTCATGTGCACATTGACATGACCTAAGATGATAAAGTGATTATTTGTTCATTCCATGAGTAACATTTTCATTAAGCCTTTAAACAATTCCCTATACATCTGTTCTGATTATTTTTCACCTAATAAATGTCCTCAGATTGTGTCTGGTGCTGGTTATGATTGTTGTTTGGTTCTTTAATAGATAACTCTGTTCTGAAGAACATTCTCATTGGACTTCTAGTCATCACTGCTTTGATTATAATGATCGCTGTGATTATCTGCCTTCTACAAAGGAGCACAGGTGAGATGTGTACTGTGTACATTTATTATTATTATTATTATTATTATTCAAAGATTTTCCGAGTGATCTTTTACAGAGTAAACAAATGTTTCACATATTTCAGTAAAAAATGCTGTGGTCAATATTTTTTTTAGTTGTCCACAGAACAAACCACTGTTATACAATGACTTGCCTAATTACCCTAACTTTACCCTAATTACCCTAGTGAAGCCTTTACATGTCACTGTAAGCTGAACACTAGTGTCTTGAAGAATATCTAGTCTAATATGATGTGCTGTCATCATGAAGAAGAGAAAATATAATTAGAAACAAATTAAAACTATTATGATCAGAAATGTGCTGAAAATAATCCCTCTGTTAAACGACACTTGGAAAATACTGTAATATTTCACAGCAGAACTTTGACATTTAAATGTGATATACAGCTTTCCTCAGTAGATGTGAGGAGATCTGGAGTGCTTTTTGTCCTAAATGTAGTGTCATGTGTTGTTTAGGTCTCACATATGCAGCAAGAAAAATACGAATACGGAGGACCCCAAAAACAAGCAAGTCTATGAAGATGTTTGGTTAAATAGGAGTTTAATGTGGCAGTTCTGTTCATCATCTCTGCTTCTGTTTACTTCTTCAAATGTTTTCACTTAGTTTAGATTGATGTGCATTATTTCCACAGCTAACACACATCATGCTGAGCGTCAAGAGCAAGCCTTCGTTAACTTAAAGAAAAAAGAAAAGCAGTACATAAATAATGATGATTATGATGATGAAGAAGAAGATGATAAACCTGATGATGAACATGATGAAAGATCAAATGAAAACAGAACAAATCATGACAAATCAGGTAAAGAACATATTTTTTTTGTCATTTAAAGAGAGTGCTAGAGATGGATGGGTCTAAAATTCACATACACTGCTTATTACACACACTGGGATGCACAGCTCACACTAACATCTTTAAATAGAAGACATTAAAAAATTCAATTGTTTTATATATATATATATATATATATATTTATTTTTTTTTTTAAATAACTCAGGGGTTTTTGGTGTATCCAGCTGATTCTGTAGATGATCTTTGACATTACGCACAAACACATCTCCAGTATTTACTCACTAGTGAAGTGTTAGTTTTATAATTTTGGTTATGTACATAACGAATCCATGATGACGTAATGCAACTCAAATGCACTGTTTTAATGCACGTTACACCTCAAAACACATCCAAAACTTATAAGAATGAGCACAAGCCTCAGTTTAGACCATCTGCTTGATGAACAGACCCCTAGCTAAAACCTCAATATATGAAATAAAAAGTAAAACCTTTTGAACTTAATGTTTACAATGCAAATCCAATTAGATCCTCTTTATTTGGTAAACAAAGCAAGTCTCTCACGTATGACTGCACACACTGCATTGTACATAAATCAGATGAACACTTTAGTCAGTAATATTACTGTAATTATTTAAAAACTGAATAAATAAAGATTTGAACACATTTATACAAGTAAATAAACAGAATTAATGATGGGCTAAACATCTGCAGACTTCTGTGTGCACAGATTCCGTGTGGGCTTTGTGATGACTTTCATGGCTTTCTTCAAGGCAGATTGCTGACAGCAGACGTTTTAGGATAGTTTGTGGTTTGATTAATTTTAACACCACTTGATGAAATGTTCATTTTTCTGTGACCCGTGTCTCTTTAACTGTAAGAGTAATGCTTTATACTACAGCATTTATCCATCAGTGTTAATCTCCTCCACCCACAGAACACCTCCCTCCAGCAACAGACCCTCAGGAGAGAAAAGCAGACGCTGAAGAGAGAACAGAAGAGCCGGAGAACACTGATGCTGAAAATACAGAGGAAACTCGTTTAGCAGAAACTACTGAAACCACTGAAGGAGCGACTGAAGCAGGTAAAGCAGTTATTAACTCCGCTGTTGTCTTATATTCCTGTGTACATTATTACGGCCTTCAGGTCAAACAGACCTGCCTTCACTAAAGCTCTAAAGCACAGGTGTCAAATTCAGTTCCTGGAGGGCCGCAGCTCTGCACAGTTTAGTTTCAACCCTAATTAAACACACCTGATCAAACTAATTGAGTCTTTCAGGCTTGTTTGAAACCTACAGGTAAGTGTGTTGGAGCAGGGTTGAAACTAAACTGTGCAGGGCTTCGGCCCTCCAGGAATCGAGTTTGACACCCCTGATCTAAACTAAAGCAGATCAGATTAATTTCAGTCCTCAAATCTATTCAGCATGAAGAAACAAGCCGATCTTCATCACACACACACTCTGTGAATGTTTGGGGTTTCCCTCAGCAGTGTGCAGTATTTTAGCAGCGTTCACTCAGTGGACAACACTCATCCCTCACTACAGTAAAGAGCGTGTTTAATCATGAATAAAGTATGTGCAGAAGTGTAAAGTTTAACAAGACAGTATTCATAAAAGTTATGATTCTTATTGTGTGTGTGTTTGTTTAGTGTGTGTGTTTAGTGTGGTGTATTAAATGGTTTTATAGCTGGTGAAAGACACCCGCTGTACCCTAAATGTGTTCAGTCTTCATGAAAATTAAAAAAAAAAACAGAAAACTATTCATTTCTAATGTTAGTGTAATTTCAGAAAGTCTCCAAATTTCTGGATTAAAAACTTCAACATTGTTTAGTTTTTTTTCTTCTGTTGTTTAAATGGTGTCTGGGTCAATGTGGACCCATAAATGTCAATAGGAGGGTTAAAAGACTTTGACTGGACTGAATACGACTCAATATACAATCAATAAAGGACTCGCATGTCTACATACTCTCCATAATTGTGCAGAAATAAATCTATTTGATCTGACACTTATTGTACTGGTGTTTTCCAGGCAACATCAAGGACGTTTATATATATATCTTTTTATACCAACTGAACAATTGCTAGCTCCGGTGTGTATTGTCGTTGGAAAATTAAGTTGACTTATTTCTTTTAAAATAAATTTTCACTTGGTAAGAAAAAAATATATATAAAAATGTTCTCACTGGAACCCATTAAAATGGCCATTTCTAACCCCAGTACTGCCCTAAAATTAAGAAAGATTTATTATCAGATGGTCAAATTAAAAAAAACTGTAACGGATAATTTTTTTTTGCCTAGACCGTTTAAGTTTTAAAGTCGGCTTATACAGCAAACACTGTGTTTTCTGTATATTATAGTCTGTTATAATGGAGTCGATTGGATAAATTGTGCATTTATAAGTGTGTGTATAGATGCATGTTGTACTGTTATGTGTGTAAATATGTAATTGCGTAATAAGTGACTGTACTGGAAGTCTATTTTGAACTGGAGGAATTTTATTTTAAACTGAAGCTCAAGCGTTAGTGTAAAGACAGAGCATGTTCAACTATACTATACACATAGTATAGCACAGTCAGATATAGAAGTTTGTTTTCACCTGGACAATGAATGAAATGAGTAACATTATAATGTTGTGTTGCAGGAGGAGATGCAGAGGATGTGGACACTAATGCAGAGGATGGAGACTGACAGCACGACAGCAGAAATAACTTAAACACCAACACAATCTCTCAGGCAAAAACATGGTGCTTCAGCAAATAAATCAGTGGAGGATGAGAACTGAGGGCCAGATTACTGAAAGGAGTCAGTTACAATAACAATGTGTTAATGTATTTACCAACATGAACAAACAACACATTCACAGTATCACATTACATTAGTTGGAGATTTTTACTTTGTGCATTTACTAATGTTAACAAGCATGAATTTACATGTTAATAGAGTATTAGTAAATGTTGAACTGATTAATAAACACTGCACAAGTATCCTTCATTATTGTGAAGCATGACCATGGGGTTAGGAAATCTGGTGTATCAGGGTGTCAATCATTTACTATACTCAACTAAAAATAAATAATGCACAAAAGCACACACACAATTTAAAATGGGTGCTCAAACAAGCAATTTCTTTTTCTCTTTTGGTGTTGCTGCCTTTGTACATTTTATATTAAACATAGCCTAATTCATGAAGCAGTCATTTCACAGAACTACTGCACATGGTTTTACTTGATTAAAGCCTACTTGTATTAAACAGCTAATCATTGGCTTCTTTATAGTCAAGGTAGCAGTAGGGTTGAAGTATTAGAGATGCAGAGTAAGATCATCAGAATAAAGCTGAAGGTCACACAGCATCTTCCCTATTAACATGCACATGAAGTGGAAACACAAGCTCGTGACAAGTTTTGCAGCTCGCCGTGTTGGAATGTTCAGACTTGAAGTCTGACCTGTGAAATCACATCAAGATTGCGTGAGACCAATCCAACTCCAGCGTGACCACAGCTTAAAACAATCCGAGTAACGTAATCAGTGATGTTAGTGAGTGAAGCATCTGAAATAAAGGACTAGAATGCAGTCAATAAGTTCAAGTTTAAAAATAACAGTTCATGACACTTCAGCATCAATTCTCCACTGCACATAGTAGATAGACAAAACATTATTGCTCAACTATTTTTTTTTCTTTCACTGTTGCACGTAGTAAATCTGACCTCAAGCGTTCCAAGTGGACTGTAAATAACCTTCAGTTTACACCAGTACCATTTCTCAGATCAGTCAGCAGCAGGGTTCATCATGGGTTGTGTTGAATGGACTAAACAACTGAATGTCAAAAAAAAAAAAAAAAAAAAAAAAAAAGCATGTGCTTGGTGATTTTAGGCATGTGAAAGGGTTAATGTGAAAGAGAAGGGAACATATGCAGAATAAAGAGCAAAGCTCAAACCCTGTGAAATATTACAAAATATAAAAATGATAAAAAAAAACAAAAACTTTAGGCCATCTATAAGCCAGTGCGCTCCAAAACAGAGACAAATTCCCATTTAAAAAGATAAACACCAAGTCTGCAGTTAGTTGCTTCTGTCTAAATGGATCAGGGGTTGGCATAGGCTCATACTTCAGTTTCTCATCTAATCTGACCAATCAAATGCTCTCGTATCTGACATCAGCCGCTCCACCAATGGAAAGCAATTTTGAAGGAAGGAAACTTATAGTGATGGAGTGTTTCCCCAAACAATGAAGTAGGAAACAAAGCACAACCATTCAAATAAGAGCAAAGACAGACTTGTACTATACTCTTTATTATTTTTTTCTAAAAAGACACCTGAAGGTCATTTACAAAGTCAGTACAAAACATCTTTAAGGTCTTACAGAAATCTTTGGGATGACAATTCTTTAAAAAGGAAGCAAAAGCTGCAACTAGACTCAAACAAGAAGCTTTTATAGCCAAAAGACGACTTTTTAAAAAGTAGTTGTGCAGTTAAGGCTTAGTGATCTGGACTTCCAAACAGCCAGAATGACCTTTCCCCAGTCCAGAAGGAAGAGACGCTTCAGTCTCAGTCAGACTCCTCCTCAGACTCGGACTCTGAAAAACACATCACACAGTTCCACATCAGCATACGGAGTTACTTCAGCTTTTGCTGACAATTTATATGAATCCAGAGAAAATGAACACCCAACTAAAACAAATAAATAAAATTATAAATTGTGAGTTTTATAGAAGACAGATATTCTCTTTTTTTTCAGTTTAACAAATTAAAGGTGTAAACATTGGTTTCATTTAAGCCAGACCTGTGCAAAACTGCATATTTCACATCTACCAGCTGAAGGAAAAGTAGAATAAAAGAATAGAAATAGAAATTTGCACAGTATTGAAGCATTGAAGTTAGATCAGTTTGGGTTAAAGCATCTTAATTGTTTTTATAAGAATAAAAGGAACAAATATAAACGAAACGCAAAAGTTACTTTAAAATAAGCCTCATTTCATCCTCTGATCTGAAACACCTGGACACTAAATGTAATGATTAATGTAGGAGAAGGCATGTCAGTAAATCTGTTAGTAAACTCAGTCATATGCATACAAAACCCTGATCACACATGCTGCTCGAGTACATTTATCCAGAAGACAGATTGTAAGGTTAACCATTATCAAAACTAATAACAACTACAACAAATAATAATAATAATCATCATCCTCACCCTCTTCAGCGTTCTTCAGCCACTCCACGAACGTCTTCATCTGCTCCAGGAACACACTCTTCCCTTTGGCCAGATGAGCTTCAGTGAACCACTTCAGAACAGCCTCTTCACTCAACACATCCACTGGAGGACAGGTTTGGGGAGTCAGAGAGGTCAGGGGTCATTATTGTTTAGCACTAGAGAAGCAGCACTCTTCCACAGAGCAGTGCGGTTCAGTTCAGGACGGGGAACAGTTTACAAAAACATTTCAAGTTGTCTGTTTATAGAGTCGGTCTCCATATTACAGTTTACATTAATCAGCTCCAGCGAGTCACTTTTCCTTCCAACATCCCCTTTTACATTAGGTATAAAGGCACAGCAAACAAGACGATATTTGGACATTTAAATAAGTCTTAAAAGCGGAGACTGTGGAAATGTTCTGTTGAAGCCCAGCAGACAAGAATGATTTTACATGGTGATGTTGAAGCTGAAGCTTGAGGCAGTAACTACATGGTAGCTGGTGTAAAGAGCAATGAACAAGTCTGGGATGGAAAAGAAATTAAAGTTGCTTCAGTGAAAGCTAAACCGATCTCATCCCAACACAAAGCAGCTCTAGAAATCTCCTTCACCCTTGTGTGCTGCTGTTGGGGAGGTGTTCATCCACTCTGGGGTGATTGGGTCTTATTGTGGACACATGTGAAATGACATGTCGGGGAAAAAGCTTTGAAATCTCTTAAACTAAACACTGTTGGCTAAATAACTCTTTTGACTTCGCCATGTTCATAAGTGATTGAAGTTAATATAAAACCATGTAGTATTTCTGATCAGGCCTGAGGCAGCCCAACACCAACATTGGCCATTTACAACTTCTGATAGTGGAAACAGAAAACAGCATACTATACTGAACTGTACCACTGCGTATAAGCTGAAGCGCAGGGCTGGAGAATCATCCGTACCTTTATAGAGCAGCAGGACCATCTTCTGGAAGGTCTTCATGAAGTGGATATTATCGTAGCAGAACTCCTGGATCCTCTGCAGCAGCGAGAGCTCAGACTGAGCCTGTGTGCTGAAGGCCTTCAGAAGAGGACTGTGTTGCTGAAGACAAAACATCAAGAGTTCGGTCAGACAAAACACTTGCACAAGGTCAGGCATTACATGATGAGAGCCAAATTAAAGCATTCTCAACAAGCGAAGCTGCAAGAGTCGCGCCACAAGATCTGTAAAGTTAGCCAGACACTACAGATCAGAGTCACTGCAGAGTTAAAGCTGAAAGTTAAGCATCATTTAATTGTGTCAGTATTAATCTAATCTAAAACAGAGGGCGGGGCATAGAGCAGCTCCTCCCCTTTTTGAAAAACAGCCACTAGAGAGGAGGTGTCCAAAGTCAGTTCTGGAGGGCCGGTGTCCTGCTGAGCTCAGCTTCAACACACCTGCACGGAAGTTTCTAGTATATCTAGTAAGAGCTTGATTAGCTGGTTCAGGCGTGTTTGATTAGGGTTGGAGCTAAACTCTCCAGCACACGCACCCTCTAGGACAGAGTTTGGACACCCCAGCACTAGAGTATTGCCAAGGCTGTGCCAGTGAGCAGTTGAGCTCAAACAAGCAAATGAGAAGGGGGAGGGGCAGTCAGACTACAGAGCATTTGATTGGTCAGAACACTTGATTAGAAACAGAGCAATGTGATCATTTATCCATCCACAAATGACAAACTGCAAAACTTGGATGTTTAGATTCTCTAAATGCACTGCTTAACATGTACTAAAACCTAAACTCTATCAAACAATTGAGTAAATTCATCTCATGAAGGAGTCTCACAGGTTACCTTCAGGTGTTTGATGGCCTGTTCGGTGACCAGCTCCTCTTTCTTATTCCACTCCACATCGCTCATCAGACTGGTCCACATGATCCCGATCATCAGCTGCTCAGAGATGCTGCTCCTCTTCATTTCCTCCTTACAGTAGTCAATGATCTGAAAGAGAACACAGGGCTCTTATAGTATGGAGCTGACTTTGAAGGGTGTTCATATGATTTGACTAATTTAATAAAATATATAGAACATTCAAAATAGTTTAAATTTGCTTTAACTTCACTATTGAACATCTGAAAATGTAAGACATCTGAATCAAGGCAGATTCCACACTCAGGATTCTGAAATCCTAGACTGCAGATATCCAGTTTCAAGTTCAATTAAATTCAACTCAAAACAAAGAAATTCAGATATGCAAGTAGATCAGCGGTCATGAAGACCATGTGTCAGGTAGTTAAAACGGTAGGCTACAAATAATTCGTTATTAATTATTCATAATTCACCACCGTCTATGGCGACGATGCCATTATGATGTTTCATATTAGACATCGTACGATGCCAAAATGGTCGACATCGCCCAACCCTAGCTCTAATGTCTCTCAAAGGGGAAAACAAAATTGACATTCAGCAAACAAATCCTTGCCTGACCTACACTTTTATCGGTTATCGCTTTTGTTGGTGCCCAATTTTAACATGAGACTTTAAAAACCAGGTGTAAATTAAGCACGAACAGTCGGTTCTGCCGGATTAAAATTTAAGTCCCGCACAGATCTCTAGTGTGTGGCTCAGGAGGACACAATTCATCTGCATAATGTTTAAGACACTTAGATGTACGAAAAAGCTTCATCTTAAACTTCAAACTTTATGCATGTGATCTAGGAATTCAGAACAAATATGAAAAAAAATAAATAAATAATTAAAAAAAAGCCTCAATTCAGATTTAAGTTACCAAATTCAAAACCAATTCAGTTTCATTAAACTACAATGATCAATAATTCCAATTCATTTTAAAAGGTGCATATGAGTCATTAAAAGGGCCATGTATTAATGGAGTCATTAAGGCCAGGGCTGACCTCTTTAAAAGAAACGCCCAGAGAGATCTGCTCCTGGAGCTCTTTCTGAAGCTCCTTGCGAGCGCCCAATGACTGCTGGTTGCGTGCAAAGTCAGAGATCTCCTTCAGGCCAGCGCCAGTGAAGTATCTGGAGAAGTGCTCATAGCTTCGCTTGTTAACTGGAAACAGCTCCTGCAGAAAGAAAAGAGACAGTTTAGCAGCGTTTCTGCAGGATTCAGTCAAATTTAAGAAAATGCTAACATTTCTAGGGATAATGACAGGATTTGATGGGAATTAAGTATTTTACTTGATATACACAATTCTTTATATCGGTCAAATACACTTGCAAACAAAAAACAAAAAAACAAACAAAAAAATGCACAAAAAAAACACATATGTAAAATGGAGGTGTCAAAAATTGAAGAATTGTTGACGATTGAGTGCCGGCCAGATTGTGTAGTTTAACATGGCTACAGTAAAATTTAACATTTAAAAAAATAAAGATCTGTTCACACAAAAATGCCAAAACCTACTGTGATGCATGCCAAGAACACATGGAAACAAGAGGCAATAATGACATGTATGCTGGGTTCACACCAAAATGGGGAATTAAGCATTTATGAGGTAACTGCATACAAGTCAATGCAAATGAGAGAACAGAGGCAGATTACAGTCCTGTGGTCGAACAATGCGCAAGCGATCGGTTTCCTCTGAACATTTAGAAGTGCCTAACATGTTTAAAATCATTTAAGACTATTCATTGCAAACACAATCACCTCTCAGCTTATCAAAACCAATTATGATCAACTGTGGTGTAGTGCATCAATCTGGGACTCACCATCAGCCGGTTGTCCATGCTGACCTTACGCAGACTGCCAGCGACTGAGTTAATGTCCTTCTCACTGATCCATGACTTGAACAGCTTCACAGCAAAGGCCGGAGACACACC